GTCCTACTTATGCACAGTACAAGTGTTATGTAATATTTTTTGTAAGATCTTATAAAAAAAACTGGAATATCAATACAAGGTTAGCTTGCAGATGGAAAATATTGTTATGTAATTGTAATATTGTTTTTTGTTGTCTGGCCGGAAATAATACCTACAATAACTGACTTTAAAAAAATACCTATTAAATTTTTTCCAAAACAACAACGTTACCGTGGCAACTAAAATCTACCGCCAGATGCTAAGTAGCCTAACTGCAATTTTATGACTTATCTAATTTATATTTTTACAGTCTAAAAATCTTAATCTACAAGAGAACAGTGACCGAAAATTGTTAACATAATCTTTACACAAATATTAGTATGTACCTAAAAATTAATTTTCGGCTTAGTTAATTGCGCATTTTTATTTTCCTCCTTATTGAAAATCATGTTTCTTGTTGTTAGGCCACTCTGCACTTTAGCAGCCATACATTGCCTTTATTTTTCGAGGCTAAAACAAAACTTACGTACTGTTACCATAACATAGAAATATAGAATTTACCTTATGTCACAGGAGGAGAAGAGACAAGCACTTCAAAGAAAAAGTCAAAGTCAAAGTGTTAAAACTAAATGCTCCCTATGGGAATAGAAGACGTGACCTTGGTTACTAGCTATTTTAAACAGTTGACTCCTAGACTACATCTTTACATATTACGTTATCCGTTACGTAACGTAGCAATTTAGCTAATATTCATTATTATAAATTAATTATCCAATCACATCACGTTTTAGTTGTAGCGATTCTTTTGTTTTTAATTACGAACGTTTGGCCTTAGTTTAACCTTCGTTATTTAGATCACTTCATATCCTATTAAGAACGATGCTTTATTAACAATTTTTATCTGTACTAATATAAAAAGTTGAAGAGTTTGTTTGTTTGTTTGAACGCGCTAATCTCAGGAAGTGCTGGTTCAAATTGAAAATGTGTTTGTTTTGGTTAGAGCTATGAAAGGCTATGAAAGATTGCGCTGTGACATGCGATTAGGAGCGAGGAACAGCGGGAGATGTGGAAGAAACGGCGAAAATTATGAATCTCTCTCAATTCCGATGCGTACGCTCGAAAACGGTTCAAGATAACCCAAAAATGTTACTAAAAGAATGACTCCTCTTTAAATGTAAAAATCATTGTTGACACTATATAGCTATTTTTTAAGATTGACCTGCACTTGAATAGATTTGCAAAAACAATTAACGTCAATTAAAGTCGAAGTCGCTGACACAGCTAGTTCGTAAATAAAATGCATGTTTTTTAAGGGAATTATCAATTTGACCATAAATACTAGTTATTTAATCCAATTTTAAACAGTCCAATTAAACATAAAGAAGTATTATTTGTAGTTTACGCGGAATTCCACATTTAAATTTAAAAAATTAACAGTTTAAACCGTGATATATATTAGTTAAACTTGTTTCAAAATTCTTAACTACGTGCCGACGGTTTGGATGCTTGGAAGGAGTCGTGGCCAGGAGGAAACTAATCTATATCGCGTTTTAAACCGTTACAGTGTTTTAGTTACATAGTTCACTTATTAAACACAAAATCTGCTGGGCTGCTTCCAAGTAGTCGGAACATAGGGTTAAATTAAATTTAAAAAAATAAACTTATGTTTTGCGTCGTAAACCGTTAAAAGTTATTTAATCGTATGACAATTGTATATAAATAATATTTTTTATTTAACACAGATATTTCATTTATACTGTGTTATAGCTTAATATGAAGATTTAAAAATCATAAACCATTTATTCTGCTAGGTAACTACTACACTGAATTGTAATACAATACTATATCAGTTCTCGAAACCTCGGTCCGCACAGATCTGTAACGATATTCGGAAGCGTTGAAAATATTTAAATAAAACACTTTAACGGTTTAAAACGATATGTATATATATATATATATATTAGTTAAACTTATTTGAAATTTATTTTTAGCGGCCCGACGTTTCGAATGCTTTGCAGCAGCCGTGGTCACGGGGAGACAAACAAGTTTAACTGAAATATATCGCGTTTTCAACCGCTCAAGTTTTTTTTTATATGTACAATTCGCGTTAACTACAGACAGCATTTAGCGCTGAAAATATGAAATATGTTTGAAGAAGTTATACGTACATAATTTCTTAATCTTTGATACTGAACTTAAAGAAGTAACCCATTTTAAAAGCTTGGATTTGACATCACAAAATCTTCTCATTAGCCATTACACATTTTACCAGATTAAAAACATCTCCGGAAGTGGAAACTCCTGCTAGCGCTGATGATGATAAGCAATTATAGGATATGGTTTCCCAAACGTTTCCATTAATTCCAAGAAAATTAATCAGATACAATCATTACGTCGTGATGGTATCCTTTTCAACACAATGACGTCATAGGTAAACCATATATGACAAGCCTTTTTATTTTTAATATATTCAACTTCTGACGTAAGTAGAGCTGTGGCATCTGAATCACTAGAGCTATAACAATTAAGTCCCCCCGCGACCACGGCTGCTGCAAAGCATTTAAAACGTCGGACTGTAATGAGACAAATTATAAATAAGTTAACTGATACGTTTTGCGTTTTAAACCGTTCAATATGTTTTATTTAAATTTGTAGTAGCCGTGGTAATAGGGGGACTAAATGATTAATTTTTTTTTTCTTCAATGCCAGATTTGACTTTGACATAAAAATTATTTTATAATTTTTGAGTATATTGATATGTTTTCGCAGCATACGCAACGGAAACCCACGCTAGATGAATAATTTTCCCCTTGTTTTTCTCGTTTCTATAGCTTTCCTCAATAAATGTTCTAAGCGACACAAAAATAATTTTTCAATTCGAACCCGTAGTTCCTGGGATTAGCGCGTTCAAACAAACACACAAATAAACTGTATATATTAGTATAGATTTAGTATGAATGATATTCGAATATAGAATCAAAGTAGCAATCGATACAGATACCTAGTAATCTCGTTCTATACTATAGTTAACGAGATAATTACATGTATAATAAAATTTTGTACAGTTTAAAACGAAACATAATAATAGCCTTACTTATTTCATTAACTAGATGACATACACGGGCAAACAAGGCACGAATTCAAGTAAACGCGCGACAGGCCTTCCCTAATTGTATAACAATTAACAACGTGATCGGCTCGCATACTCGGATTACTCGTAAACAGTATGAATAATCCTTATTACGCAACGTTTTCAATTTCCGCGTATTACGCGATAGACTAGACTCGCCCTTGACTCGACACGTGACCGACGGCCGTGGCATTCGATACTTTCAAGAAAAGGTGCATTTGCATAAACAAAATAGACGCATACGCAAATCGTTCATTAGTTAATGCCTAAACGGTTTAAAACGCGGACTGTAATAGATTATAGCGGATTTTCGAATATCAAAGACAAAAAAGGTCGACAGCGCATTTGCGTAGATGTTCTATGGCTGAGGTATTTCACCTCCCATCAGGTGAACCACGTGCTCTGACCTCCTCTATAATGAAAAAAATGGGTGCTCTTTTAGGAAAAGAGTCCACTCAGCCACATTGAGACTTGAGACTAACGTCCCAACACTGATATTCTGGTCCCTTCAGAGGCCGAGCTAACACAAGTTATTTAATAATAAATTGATCAAATATTTTGCTGTACCTGGTTCTGGTCTCCGCCACGCTTTGACAAAAAAATATTCACTATAACATCTTAAGTAAATGTTATTATTTTACTCTTGTAAATGCGTAGCAGCCGCTGGTTAGTTAATATATACTGTCTATAGTTTACGCGAGTAGTACACATTTGAATAAAACACTTTAACGGTTTAAAACGCGTTATATTAAACTTATTTGAAAATGATGTTTAACCTCAGCCCGACGTTTCGGATGCTTTGCAGATAATTAATGAATATATAGTGAAATAAGTTTAACTAATATATCGCGTTTTGAACCGTCAAAGTGTTTTACTTAAATGGTCAATATATTTTTTGATATCACCAACAGTGTATGTAATTTTTAATTAAGAACAAAACAGTAGCTCTATGTTTCTAGACATGTCATTCTAGTAAGAATATCGTCCGTGCTAGTAAGTATCGTAATAACACTCTATTGAAATATACTCTTTATTTTAACGATATTTAACTATATTAGACTTTTCCCATTGTAATAATTAATTTATCTACATTAAAATGTCAGCTAGTAACAGTTAAGTAACACACCTTGATATTAGTCCTCTTTCAATTTAAATGCGCGGAAGCACCACTTACCATCCTTACTAATATTATAAACGAAAGTAACTCTGTCTGTCTGTCTGTTACTCTTTCACGCCAAAACTACTCAACGGATTTAAATGTAATTTGGTATACAAATGGTCTAGACCCTGAGAAAGGACATAGGCTACTTTTTATTGCGAAAAGGGGGTTGTAAGGGTTTAAAAGGGGGACGAAAGTTTGTATGGAAATTTGTGGTGTTTGAAGCTAAAACAATGAAACTTTCTTCTTTGACTTTTTGGGAATAGGAGTGAGAGTGGGAGTGGATAGTGAGGTGAGAGTGTTGCGGCAAAGGAGCCCTTATCATAGTTTCCCTGCCCTAAATGCACCCTTACCTAAATTAATAAACAGCCTCAATAATTAAAGACTCTACCCCAACTATTTCACGCGGACGACGTCGCGGGCACAGCTAGTAGACAATAAAATAGAGACGAGAAGGTTAGAAAATTATTTATAATCTATTTATAGATAAGTTAAGAAAATAATTATCGATTTCCTTAGCCGGTTACAGTTGCAAAAGTCTCTGATAATTACAGATACCTAATAATAGATTATTAACTTGTTCAATAAATGACGTGGGACCTATTTATAGTCATCTAAAGGCCACTTAGGTATTCCAGTAATTGATAGACAGAAATTAGAAGCCAAAAGGTTGTATATATGATAAATATTATGTCCTTAGTGCCTTTATGAAGGAATTTTTTACCCAAAACAATGCAGACCACGAAGTTCAGGGTCGCGAATATTTGCATCACGATTTTTATGGAAATCTCTGATACTATTACGAAGCTTGGAAGTAGATGATATTATCTCATGTTTCATAGTAGTAAGAAATATATACATGTATAGATTGTATAAATAGGGTACTATAAGAATTTTTGGAATTAATTGTTGTTATGTTGGGTAGACATGAATTTCCAAGTAATTCAAATCAAATCCAAAGTCATTTGCTCATGTAGATAGCTAGGTAGAATTACAAACGATAATAATTCTCAAATTTACTGGCAAGAAAATCGGCGTCACTTCTTTTATCGTACATACACATTATGGCACTATATATATATTAATATGGATTATAAATTGAAAAAATACATTGCGCAAGAGATGAAGTGTAGGACACGGTAGCTCAATTGGTTACAGCAACAGCACGGAACGCTTCGGACGCCGATTCCATGTCCTGTCCGAGCCGTAGTTTTTTTTTGAATTTATAATCGACTTTTATTTTTTCCTTGTTAGAGCGAGTTTAATTATATTACACTTATTCTCGAAACGATTAACGTTGTGTACCGTAACAATAAAAACAGACGAAATGCAAATTGCTGATTCTTGATTAAATATATTACGCCATAATTGCCAAAATAAACGCTTATCAATTGATTTCGTAGAGGCGTAAAAAACGCGACAAATAAATGACTCAATCGCGAATTAGCTAAAAAAGACACTACATTGACTCAATATTGCCGACTACCGATTACACACAGTCGGGCTGAGTTACGTAAATACCGCACACACTGGCGCACTCACGCACACAAGCGCGAGTTCACCACTACAAGCGCATACTGCTTCTGTGTGAGTGCTGCAGACCGTGAGTCGGCCGACCCCACTACAAAATTTAGTCGAACTCTAGACATCGTCGCAGATAGTCGTGTCCAACTGACTAGAGTTATACTACGCATTGAGTGAATATTTCGTCATAACATTGTGATAGTGAGAAAATCATTTGGGACGTGAAAAGTGGGAGTGAATAATTTTGTTGAATTTAAGTACTATAAACAATTGCCGAGACGTTTCTGTGTTTTGCTGTTTTAGTGAAACTATGACATTGTTCCCTCTATTTGGATAATTCCGGATAAGGAGTGCAAAATTACTGCAAATATTTTTGTAAGTATTTTTTATATATTGAGCCTGTATTTTATTGATATTTTATAATTTAGAAAACTAGTACTCACATTTAAATATTTTTTTTTACCTTTAAACAAAATAATAATCAAAAATAAATTTAAGTAACTTTTAATAAATAAATAGTTAAAAAGAAAATATTTAAAATGCGTAAATTATAAATAAATTATAATTAGCATTGGTGGTAGTTTCAAAATTTAATTTAAAATAATAAATAAATTAAACATTAAAAAAACAAACAGCCGGTTTATAAACTGTATTTTCCTAGGTCAAGGAAAAAAATCAGAATACATCGATTCAATGTTATTTAAATTTTTTAAATAAATTTTTCTATCAGAAAATGCGCAATTCAAATTTATTTTCAGTAGTTAAATTAATATTTCCCATCTGGTACTTAATTGAATGACTAACAAATGAGTGAGTCAGTTAGAAAATTGCTTCATCGTTTCCACAGAATTGTTTTGGTGGTGTCATTGACATCTCGCATCGAAATCTTGTTTACTCATGCCCGCGCAGAGTCGTGCCAAAGTTTGCTCAAATCATCTTTTATAAACGTACGAACTTCCTTTTGTCCTTCGTTGTTTTTTGTTTTGAGATAGCTTCCTCAATTGCGCTCCTTATCGTTGTTTACATTGTCTGCTTCTGCTTGAAAAATCTTTGCCACTATCGTATTCCTTTGTTTTCGATTCGCGTTGCCATATTTTTCGGTAGATAACTTGCTGTTTATCACACTATTATGTCACCTCCGTTCTGGGCCAGACGATTCGATAAAGCGACGTGAATTATCGCGACTTTTTGTGTTTCTAATACTGTGCGGATGTTTGCAATATTATCGATATTTAATGGAGGGCTTATCCAAAGATAGATTATTGGTGCTCATTCCAATTGGAGTTTTTGACATTAAATGCTAGCCAAATTGCACAGCGCTGATTGATTGAACTAGTCTTACTGAGTGTCGTAAGAGGCGCCTAGTACCGCAGCTCTGTCGTAACACTGTACGCCATTGTGAGCGCTTACACAACTGGTTCAAGGTTCCAATCCGCCGTACATTCGCCTGCGGATGTGCGGAAACAATGCATGTAATCTTTGGAACTGGTGTCCACTTCTTCACCCAAACGAAATATTATGATGATAGGTCACTCAAAATGACTTGAGTCACGTAGCTAAATATAACGCCTCCCTGTAAAGATTATTCAAGCAATTGTTCAACAAATACAAGACCGTAAAATCGATAAAGGTCAGTTCAGTGGCTTATAGCTAGGTATATCGGTATGACGCAACGTCCCTAGGGCGTTATTGCGCAACCCGCTGCAAGATATCTATTCAATATAGCGCTTGCAATTGTCGTAATAATCAATGGGTCTGGTCGAAAATCTGAATTCAGGACTGATTCATCGTAATTTCCCAATTGCCAAGATAAGGCAACAACGATGGTCTGTCTTCTACCAAAAGGATAAAGAAAGTATGGGATAACATAAAGAACTGATAATGATGTAATAAAGGAAGCTGATGGCAAGGTCGTCCGGAAGGTATTACAAGTTAAGGTTATACCCGCATGCATTTAGTTAATCGTGCATCATGACTCGCATAGTTATATGAATTTTAATTCCCATTATACGAACGATCGTGTAAGGATTATAACCCTGGTGGTCGACCCTGACTGAGTACATGCATTCAGAGTCATGCGATGAAATCATACGTATATGCTTCCTAATAATTAAAAATAGAACCACTTTGTGTGTTGCACAACGATGATTTTGCGGGACGACATCCTTTGTTTCAAAAAACCTAATACGCGCTTATCTATTTAGACGATCTGTTCGAACGAGGACCAATATTTTTCTTACGTAAGCTAACGATTTTTATACGCAATAACAGGCGATAATTTCATCGGCGCGAGGACAACTAAAGATAACTTGACCTATTTTTTTATCTTGCCGCTCGCGTAACTCTAACCCACTTAGGTGCACGTGAGAATACACAACCAATTGGTGCAAAGTGGATCACCGAATGACGTCGCTCGGAGTCCTAATAACCAAGATTGGGAGACTCCAAATGAGACCTTATTTTGGATTATCAAGGTTGACTTAAGCTGTTTTTAAATAATTGGTTTTGACCCTCAGCAGCTACGTTATTTCCGCATTTATTGCTACCAAGATTGATTAATCATTGTCTTGAGAGCAATGACTTTCCTCCTCACATTGGCATTTATCAATTTTATTACGCTTCCGATACTTGATGACGTATGTATAATTGAAGTAGACAAATCTCACGATTCAACCTTAATCAGTATACGTGATGACTCCATAGATAATAATTGGTAGGAATTTAAACAAAATTGACCACCTTTGTACAAAGTTTATTACATAAGATAATTTCAAGACATTTCGTACGTAAATTAGCAGAAACTAGAGCACTGAAATAGGTTAAGTGATTCTTAATAATGTAGCAATTAGCTGTATAGAGCAAGGCCAGCGAAGTAGGTCTTGACGCTTTGTTCCACATCCAAATGCCGCGCGTTTATTTAAAGATTATTTTTTATCAGACAGGGAAATCCCTCCGGAAAAACGGAACAGCCTTGACACAATTTACATTGGCCGTTTATCACCAGAAATGTTACGAAACACGACCTTGACACCAAACCATTATCGGGAACCTGAGGCCGGGCCAAAATAACCCGTACTGTAATTGGGTGTTATGCCGTCGAGTGGGAATATCGGTCAAGTATACGCGAATCGAATCGGAAAAATGTTTGACACGCGTCCAGAAACGGTGGCCTTCCACATATTTCCTGTTGAAAACAAAGAAACAAGGATTCCTCACGATAAACAACAAATCGTACGAGTATTAATAACATCGCGACACACAGACAAAACTCATTGTACATCTACTCACGCGCACAATTGCAAAATTGTACATGTATGTACTTTCCAGATTGTTATAGTTAGCAAATTATTGTCCCAGGTCAAGTTTCAGTACCCCATCTTTTGTGGCTAGAAATATCGTTAGACGTAACTTTTGCATGTGAATATAATTCTACACAGAGCCGAGATGCTGTTATTTACTGTATAATTACATCAAGGTGGTCACGTTGGTGATAAATGATAATTTATTAGTCTGTTAGTTTTTATCTCTAACAAGGTTGGATCATAAAGCACCAACTGTAAAATGTCGGATCAAAGATGGCGGGCGGCCCACTTTTCCCGCGCACGGCGCCGAGCATGTGGAAAGTTACCGTTGTACTACTTTCTCTACTTTTTCCAAGATGGCCGATATTGTCTATGTCTCTAAGGTCAAGATCGCCGCAATTACTCTTGCCGTTTGAGGTCAATGCGACTTATGTTTCGCAAATACATTTCTATTTTCGCTTATAAATAAGGTAAACTATGCGACGCATATAGTCGGCGATTTAACGGTCAAGGGCGTGTCGAGTCGAAGAATTAATTAGTTTCACGTTGGACGATCACGTTGCAGTTTATATAACGGTTAGAAGAAGAGTAAACGTGCTTGGTGTTACGCAAGCTCCAACGTGAGGTTTAAGATTGGCACGTGTTTTCTGCCGCGTGACCCGGCCGCGAGGAGCACGTGTGCCAGGACAATTACGCCCGTGAGGTCATGCACGGTGCAGCCTGGCTGACGCTCTCGCCGTTCCTGGACACAGACTACGTACAGATTATACTATAGATTCCAATTGTCACCATCGCGCAGATTATAATTATCTAATATAGGTCAATGAAAATTATCAGAAAAATGATACGACTGTATGACATCATTGTAAAATAATCAAGTTAGATTACGGGCTGTAGGAATTGTAAATAACTTGAATAGGTCTACGTGATTAAAGCTGTGTATTTAATTATCCACATTTTGTTTGCTATTATGTTAGTATTCAGGGGATTTTTAGATACCTATACCAAGAATATCAGACGTCTCTCTTATCACTGACTCAGTTACAGAATTACGAAACTTATAAGGCTATCGTTGTACATATATTTGATCCAAATATGGCAACATTTTTCACATACCAGAGTACCTTAAATATGTATGGCGTCAACTTGTTTTTTATAAGTTGTTTAGTGTAAAATTACGAAACATAAGTCTATTTATATTGCCTGTAAGTCGCACAATATATCCTAGTATCACGTTTTATAAACACGGCTATACTCACCACGTGTTTATGACATATAAAACTAGAATTGGATATAAATACTGGCTCTAGTTTACGCGAGTACCTCCTACCACCTTTAAATAAAACACTTTAACGGTTTAAAACGCGATATATATTAGTTAAAAATTATTTTAACTACTGCCCTGCTTACTATACATATCGCGTTGTAAACCGTTAAAGTGTTTCATTTAAATTGAATTGGATATATTAAACGCATAGAGGTGTCATATTGATAGAAATATAATACAGAGAATTGGGTAATGACCTACATTTAATTTATCACTCGTTTTGAGCAATGGAAATTCCGATGAAGAAACGTTTTTCTATCTCACGACTCGTACGTGCTTGAACGAGCCGAACAAGAAACTCTTGAGTTGCCCAACCCAACCTTGAAGTGACGAAATCGCATATAACAGTATTACGAGTTTTAGACACCAGATGAGCATAAAAAGCACCAATGTACCGTACGGTCCCATTTTTGGGTAACGGTTGAAAGTAGATGATTAGTGATAACTGTACGTCAGTTCGGCTAACAGTATTGAGATCTTGAAGCACCCAAATGTGCTAATTTGGTTGCGTAACGGTCATGCGGTTGGTTAACTGAGTTACAGATAACATAAACAATAATACGTAAGGGCGAAAACTCGTTGGCGAATGAAAATATTTTTATGTTTAAGTAACAAGTTGAAGGTGGGGTTGTCTTTGATGGTAGCCTAGTCATATAACATCTGAAGAAGATGCGCTGATATTTTGACTTATGTGGATTTGTCCTGTCCGATGTATATAACCCTATAGACCAACAAAAAGCATATAAGCCTTCGCTTTGTAGTTAGATGTATAAGTGTGAAGTATTTATAACGTCACTTTAAAATAAACAGTTTTCAACTAATTAATCAATAACCTCGGATCTTGATCAGTATTCTCTTTCGCTAACCGGAGTTTTAACGGTTAGCGCTCTCAACCGTCAAGTAACGGACACCTGTTCTGATTAGAGCTAGCGTTATTGAGAAATTATTCATTTGCTTTTATATTAAAAAGATTTATTGCTTTTTATAGAGAACAGTTAGATAAGTAATAACTGTGCAATCGATAGGAATCGATTGGGAATCGGCTAATAAGATTCTAGTGAGATAAAACGGATAGTATAAGATAAAGATGATATAGTCTTAATTTCCTTTTAAAATATCCTTAACTTATATTTATATAAATCTAATAGTTCTCACGAAACTATGACAAGATGGCCTTTATCTTTACATGATCATGACCCCCAAAGCGTTGTCAATATTCATATCTCTCTATAATTTATGCCTCAAAGTTCATAACGTAGGTAACGGTGAATTTAAAAATTCATAGTCATACCAACTGTATTTATAACGGAATAAATGAATGACTTAAGATTGAACTGTAATTTGTTTCAGCGTTGCAAAGCTTTTGGTTTTTTTTATTTACAATACTTAAAATCATATGATACGATAAATAAGAAAGATGCAGAATTTGAGAAATCCAAAATGTCGACCTTCGTTATAAGATTAGATGTAGTAAGAAACATAATTTTATTTATAATATTAGTAGAATCATTCCCAATCAAAAACCCCAGACATAAGTAAACGATATGAAGCAACACAATACTTAACCAATAAGACCCGGTGACACGGCAATTAGAGCGGTTTGTAATCGTACAGTTAGTGTAACGGGTCCGAAACTAGGCCGACCCACTGACACAACATGAGCTCGTTCGGCGTACATAGCCTTTGATTAACATGAAAAATATATACCCGTTCTGTAAGTTGACATTCAAGTTATTTGACCTTTGCTGGCTGTCAATTGTTTTTCTCATAGGCTAACTAGAGATATAAAAATACCAGGAGCTTTTCGACTTTTTATTCAATAAAATAAAACATCATTTATTCCCAGTACAATCGTTCACATAAAAATAACAAAAATACAGCAACAGGTGACTATAATATAAAATAGACTGAGAGAAGGATATGCAACAGCGCCGATTTTCAGTGACCTCTGCGGCTTAGGGCTTTGTTAGTGATATATTAAAAAATAGAAAGAAAAAGAAATCACATTTAACAGGTCGTTCGCGCAAGGAACAACCCCACGTCACAAATAGGACATCTACATAAAATAAAACTCAATTCGCATAGGAAGTGGTTATGTAAAGTCGTCGAGATGCAGCGACCGTTCGAAAACATCTTAAAAGTCTCTAGCGACCCTCTAATGATCTTTTTCGAATTTCATATGGACTCAATTTGTGAATAATCCCGTATAATCGCACCGGGGCACGTGTCCCCCGGCACGGCATAGTTACAATTACATGCTAATGCCCCACGAAAAGCATAATCGCAGATTTAGAAAGAACTCTCACGTTGTTCTCAATTCGTCCGCGTGCTTCGTAACGTGACCGTATAGCTCGTTTTTCTATGCACTGAACTGAGCGGAAAAAAGGCATCTAAGTTTACACTTCCACTACAATGGGCACTTAGAAATAAGTCTCTCATTGTTATTGGCTTCTGATAAGCTTTTGTTTTTTATCGCTTCCTGTCATCCATTCGTTACCTTCGGTATTGGGGAAAGGTTGTGCCCAGTGTTTCAGTTTCGGGGCTTAGGGTCATTGACATTATTTAAAAAAAATACCGTCGCAGGCGCAATTCTAGCCACGCCACAAACAACGTGACATCAATTGCGAAATCTTAGGTATTATTAAAAACTAATCGCTCAGCACCTAGCTGACTTCGGTCACATGGAAACTGGCATGGCATTTATTCGTGACCAGTCGTAGTGATCGAACACAGCTCTGATCGCTGGTTAAACCAATTTTCCTTCAACGGAAGTGCTGTAGTATTGCATATCCTGTGCGACCGCAAAATGAATCGTGTAGTCGAAGAGGTTGAGAAATTATATCGTTATAACATGAAGGGAATAAAAACCGATGTCGCAACATTATTTCACAAAGATTCACGTGTACAGATTACGAGGGAACTTACGACAGAATTTTTGCAAGCGCATTTTGTAACCGCATAGAAAATTAGCAACGTTTTTTTATTCTAACGTAATATTTCTTTGTTACAGAGCCACTTTGAAGATCCGTGCGGACCCAACGTCGTCCGCCGAAACATGGTTGCGGAGTTTATATTGAGCCAGCAGCAGCTGCTGGGCGGGGCAGCCGCTTTGGGCCCAGTGCCCACACCATCGCGAGTGCCGCCACCGCCGAGGGCGCGCCTCTCTGTCTCGCCACACTACCCCATGGACCAGTCACCTTCGTCCAACGGGTCAGCCGAACACCAAGAATTCGGCAACTCTTACGATTTCTCTAAGCGAAAAGAGTTCTTCGGTCAGCGTAAACAACGAGAATTTATTCCCGACAACAAGAAGGATGACGGATACTGGGACCGCAGGCGGCGTAACAACGAAGCGGCCAAGCGTTCCCGGGAAAAGCGCCGTTTCAATGACATGGTTCTTGAACAACGTGTCGTCGAACTTTCCAAGGAAAACCACGTATTGAAAGCTCAGTTAGATGCCATCAAGGAGAAATATGGAATCTGTGGAGAAACCCTGATCAGTATCGACCAAGTCTTAGCCACATTACCCACATGCGATCAGGTACTATGCGTCACCAAGAGGAGTAAACTTTCAGGGAATGCATTATTCCCCCCCGGCACCACCACCTCCCCCTCCAATTCCCCCCGACATCTCCCCCGTCCCCTGTGCCCCAGCGGGCGCCTGAACCTTACCAGGAAAGACTGCCGGCCTCCGAGGCTTACTACCCACATCCAGCCCATTATGAACCTCCCGGTTCCGTTCTCAATCTCTCAAGATCTCGCCGTGCCCCATCTCCCTATGAATTATCCTCGCTCTCTGGTTCCGGAGACGAGACCGGCGAACAGTACGCCCCAGAATACAACGGTCTACCGCTAAAATTACGCCACAAATCACACCTCGGAGACAAGGACGTCGCCAGCGCTCTTCTGTCCCTCCAACATATCAAGCAAGAGCCGGGCCCCCGTTCGTCACCTTCGTGGGACGGGGAAGGCTCGAGCGACGAGAGGGACTCTGGGATCTCATTGGGAGTGGAGTACAGGCCGCAGCGGCCCGTCAGCGACGAGAGGCTAGCGGAGGAGGAAGACGCGCACCTCAAGGCGGAACTGGCGAGAATTGCGACCGAGGTAGCAACACTTAAGAACATGCTACATCAGAACAAGACGCGCGCCCTGGAGCACTAAGCCTCAGCCCGCGGCGCCTGGACCGCGCCCGCGCCTCGGCCCTGCCTCGCTCGATCCGCGACATTACTCGTACAAACTGTCTACGGTTTAGGTTCCCCTCCCGCGTAGACGAAGTTACCACGTAAAGAGATGTATATTGTATTGTGCAGCTGATGGTGGCGCAGACGCATCGCCTAATCATTATCCTTCCTAGTAGACGTATTCGATGTTAGACTATCTCTAGTTAAGCGACGTTCGTGGAGACTTTTCGGTTTGGACTTTTCGAGAAGATAAAACTTATCTACACACGATAGATTTTAAAATGATGCATTTTTAGTGGTGAGCTATGTAAGTAAATGTATATTATATGTACAGTAGATCTGTTTCATCTGTTCGAAGACTCATTTGTGAAAATCGATGGCTAAAGACTATGTTTCGCGTAAGTTAGATCTAAGTCGATGTAAGTAAGATTAAGTCCAATCTAGATGTTTATTTATAATTTTCTATGTATAGTCCTTCTCATTTGGAACACCCGTAAACCAAAAAAGGTCCTCTAGCTGTCAGGAATCGCAAACTATTTATAAGTAACTGAACTACTATCAGAATACTACCAGTGCCTTTGTCGATACATACCTACCTGTAAAATAGTTAAATGTAATATTTTTGTACGTTTCTTTAAGAGAGCGATTCATCGTGCAACAGATTCCCTTACCATGTGTTATCGTCTAAGTATTATGTCGTTTAAAATTGATGTGGCGCATGGCGTGTTAAGTCGATGTCGATGTTTTGTAGTAGTGGATGTGGAGCCATGGTTGGGGACATCGACTATGCTTTTGTCGAGTATTGATGTAAGTTACTCCTAAATTTTGCCCCAAGGGCGCGTGATAGAGCTAACGGAGTTTAAGTATTTATTTATTCGGACCGCGACAGAGGATTTTACAATTTATTATCTTTGTATAAGAAACACTATACGATATGAATAAATTGTGTACATTACAATTAAATATGGATTTTATTTCACCTACCTACAAAACAAAATTAGGCCTTTTAATAAAACTCAAACCATTCATTTCACAAGAAATTATGAAAATTAATAATTAAATTATTTAACTATACAAAAAAATATTATTATGTTATAATTAAATAAAATTATTTATTAAATTATTTTATTTAATTAAAACACTTTTAACGGTTTAGTCAAATCTGACGTAGGTGATTTGGGACATATTCGATCTTTAGTTCCCTTGTTGGTCACAACTGCTGAAAAAATCGGGTCGTAGTTAAAATAAATTAAAAGCAAGTTAATAACCGTTAAAGGTGTTTTATTTTCATGTTCTATTTACTTTAATTGGGTTTATTAAAATCCGATAGATGAGCATAATATGACTGAAATATACCTAGCATCGCTTAAAGAAAATACTTGTCGTCGCCTGTGCACTACCCTATTAAACTTTTGTCGAACCTAGGAACCCTCTTGAAAAACCCAGTGATATGGTTAATCATTAAGTTATAAAGGAGGTAAAGAGCTATTGATTATATGTAGCATAGTAGGAATCGCAAAAACAACACTTTAACGATTGGCTTAAAATTTGCTCCTAAATTTTTACAGGCGTTTATGGTAAAAAGTCTTTTAAAAATACTTCTTAGTAATACAAATTCTTATATTTTTTCAGATAATTGAAATAGTAACCTACCTAGCTATTAGATAAAATTGTAGCTACGTTGAAATTCTATTTAGTCTCGCACGTATCATCTTTTTTTAGTCTTAATAAATTTTAAGTTATTTAATACCATATTAAAAGTTTTTAAGACACATTGAATGGTTTAAAACACGAAATATATAAGTGCATTTTCAAGGGACTGTACCCTTATATAAGCCGATTATGATGATATACTAACAGTACCTTATTAGTACATCTTTAAAAACCTGGATCTAACGATGAGAAAAGTCAATTTGGAAAGTTATAAAGATTTTTTTACGTAGGTAAGTCATAAATCTATACTAATATTATAAATGCGAAAGTAAATGTCTGTCTGTCTGTCCGGCTTTAACTCCGAAACTACTGAACTGATTTAAATGAAATTTGGTACACAGATATTTTGGAGCCTGAGAGAGGACATAGGCTATGTTTTTGTCTAAATTTATATTAATTGTCAAAAAGGGTCGATAGAGGTTGAAAAAGGGGATAAAAGTTTATATGGAAATTCGTGGTTTTTGAAGCTTTTTTGAAGAACAATAAAACTTTCTTCTTTGGCATTTTGGCAATAGGAGTGGGAGTCGTGGTGGGAGTGGGAATGGAAGTGAGTGTCTTTTCCTCTTCCTTAAGCGTCAACGTCCATGTCTCGCATCCATACAGTAGAATAGGACGGATGACGGTCTTGTAGATTCCGATTATAGTTTTTCGGGTAAGTAATTTGGACGTTAACACCTTATGGAGGGCCGCGCAACAACGGAGGGCGTTTTGGAGCCGGATATTTATTTCCTCTTCTCTTGAGTTCGTGTCCGTTATTGTGCAGCCGAGGTACTTGAATTTACTGGTGCCCCTGAATGAGATACCGTCCACATGTAGGTCCTCAAGTGCTTTTCTTTTGTCCTTATAGCGTTTCATGTGGAGGTATTCCGTTTTCTCTCGGTTTACTCTCAGACCAATTCCAGCTGCTTCGGAGATCATGGTTCTCGCCAGACATTGCACCTCAGTCTTTGTTTGGCCTAGAAGAGCCAAATCTTCGGCGTATCCAACTACCCTATGCTGTCCATTTAGCCTTACACCTACATCCAGTATTATTTGTTACGCCTTGTATATATTACAGCAAACATATAGTAATAAGTCGTAAATAAAATTCGGCGTTAAGCGATTTTAAAATATTTATTTCCACGATTACATCTGACACATATATACATACAACAATAAATAATAACAATATAATACGTGTGCTTCTCTCCTAGCTTAGCTAGCATTTTTAATAATTTACTCGAGGTTCCGTAGTAGTTTCAAACTTCCCACATGCTAACGAAATACGAAAGTTTAAGTAACAGGGTTAAAATTATAACAAGCTAAATACTGTCTATAGTTTACGCGAGTAGTACACATTTAAATATAACACTTTAACGCTTTATAACGTGTTATGTTAGTTAAACTTATTTGAAAATGATTTTTAAATAAGTTTAACTAATATATCACTTTTTAAACCGTTAAAGTGTTTCATTTATAACAAGCCAAGTCAAAGATTACTTTATCTGTGCTTAGACCTCACGATTTAAGTCGAGTATTATAGTATTTCGTACAAAATATTATTTTCAAAAATACAAAGACGTTACTAAAATAATTATAAATTAAATAAAAATAAAAAACTAGCACGAAAGGTCTTGTACGGTGTCATCGCGACGGTGCGACGAATTGATTCAATCACTGCCCGTTTCCAACCCCCCCTTTTCTTACTCGTTCTTTTTTTGAATCCGTGGCGAATGCATAACCTCTAGGCAGTGGGGTAGACCTCATTCATTGTCCGCAGCCATCTCGCCACCAGCCATACAGTCACCGCGTTCAATTGCTGGCAGGGTAGCTGCTTGCGGCCTAAGTTTTGCTGAACTTAATTCGTTGCTCTGCACCCAAAGCTCCAACTGGAAAATAAATTAAGAAGCTCAGTTCCTATCTCTCTATTCTCCTGAGATTCATTTATTAAATTTATCAGCAATGATAACATCAGGAAATGATTCAGCGTTTAACTAGGCTAGGTGCCTTATACATTATACATACATTACCTTAATGCCTAAGTTTAAATAAAATTGTTAACGGGTTAAAACGCGAAATGTAGTGTATCTTATTTATAAATTACTTTAATTACGCTTCGATGTTTCGGATCCTTTGCAGCAGCCGTGGTCACGGGGAGACTGAAAATGGAGGGTGTCTCTAATGTCAAAAAAATCTATGACGTGTAGGACCCGGTATCTTAATTGGTTGGCAACAGCACGGAACGCCGTTGATGCCGGTTCACGCCTCGCCCGTGTCATAAACTTTCATCAATTTAAATATATTTTTAATTTAAAGTATACTTAGCTTAATTAATGGTTTGTCTTATTTGTTTCATGAAAAACATTCAGATGTATTCAAAGACATAATGAAACAAATATTTTGGATGCAAAATTAGCCGTCACAATCATATTATTTATGGTGAAGACTCCATACCTCAGCTGGCATTTTCAGTGGGTACGGTTTGCAATTGCCACCACAGTGCAACTGCAGCAACAGCTCCGCAATAGCAGCAACTGAAGTGTCGATGACCCGTTGGCGACACAGCGCCACGGCATGGACGAATCCGCCTGGACCGATAAACTCATGTTCCATGAACAGGGTTCTATCGTCCCAGTAGACTGCCTGAAATGATTGGCCAAATGTTCAATAAATATTTCTTTATGATAGGGGATTACAGACAAGCATGAAGTTTACTTTATGGAAGGTGAAGTTTATTTCAAAGTGGCTAACGAAATCTATACTAATATATAAGGCTGAAGAGTTTGTTTGTTCGTTTGAACGCGCTAATCTCAGGAACTACTGGTTCAAATTGGAAAATTATTTTTGTGTTAGTTAAAACATTTATCGAGGCAGGCTATAAATCATCGTTTATAATAGACAAAGTGCAAAATGTTTATGAAAATAATTAGTAACAAGTCATTTCTGTAGTTTCAATAAATATTTGCTTCACAGTAATAAGTTTATTTTAATCAATACAGAATATATAGTTTAATATAATGTAACCAACATATCATACGAACGTACACACGAAACGAAGCGCTGTGCATACAACCCACAGACCACCTAAGATCATTTGTTTAAATATAATATAAAATCCCCGTTTGGCTTCTGATCGGTCCTTCTAGAAGATTCAAACGCAGGTTCTCATGTGCTAAAAGCAGTGCTAACACCATTTAGTTACAGCGACGGTTGTGTAGATATAACAGTAGAAATATAATATATCAACTGCGACTCACTCGAGAGGTAATCCTGATTTTGGTGAACGGTTTGACATATCTCCTATATCTGATGGTTGAAGCCCCTTGCAGTATCCCTCCACCAGCAGCCTTGATGTTGGAGTAAAGACCGGTTCTCTCGTAAAAGTCAGCTCTTGCAAAGTCCAGTTCGCGGACGTATCTCGCGTTGTTCATGTGGTAGAGGAGCGTGTCTATGTCAGTGAGAAGACAATAACCTGAAAATTAAGAAGAAGTCACGAAAAATAGTTATAACAAAAAGAATAAGAAATAGACGCGTTCAGCGAAGTTGAGGCATGAGGCAAAGTAAATAAAAAGAACTGCAAACTACATAATAACTGAAAAACAATAAACTGCGCAAACGCATGTGTATATATTTATGACGGGCTTGTACATCTAATGGTAGATATCAATGGACTGCTAATAATCAACGGATGTTGGGTTTGATCCCCATTGGGTAATATGTTTAACATTAATTTATATTTATTCCGTTAAACATGTTGAACTTCGTGTGGAAAATTTGTATAATGAATGGTCACGAACCACCATTCGCAGATAAAACGCCGTGATCTTTAATCGCGTTTTGGTTCTAGTTACAGTCTGTGGATTCCCAAACATCCAGACAAAAAATTTGACAGCGCGTCTTGTTAAGATGTTATACGGCTGGTGTATTTCAACCTTCATCGAGTGGGCTTCATCACAATCTTGTCTAAACTAATTTTTCTTTGATATATGTCAATGTTACCACAGTGTCCATTTTTACGAGCAAAGACAGATAAAATCATTACCCACTGTATAGATTAAATATCGAACCAGTTGAGCTACTGAGCACCTCGTTAATTGGTTAGAGGAACAGCGCGGAACGCTGACGATGTCGGATCAAGTCCTGCCCGAGTCGATTTTTTAAATTTACTCTCGATTTTTATTCTTTATAGTGCCATCATGTGCGAAAATATTAATGTTTTCAAACATTACCCACTCGACTTCGAGACAGTGGGGTATAAATGAATAAAATTTAATCGTATACGCAATTATAGTTATCAAAAATTACTATTGTCATTTCTTGCAATTTAAATTAGCAAGAAATAGCTAATTTCATTTTCAGAGATAACAAATTCCACGCGGTAATCACGTGCATACTTATAGGATGTGAAAAGTGCTTTGCTGTCAATCAAATTATTAATTCATAGGTTCAGTTTCCCTCAGGCCCAACATTTTTCCATGTATTAATTAAGATGACGATAATATGATGTATTTTACCATACATCAAGGGCTTGTCTGTTCTACTTACACTGCACCAAATGCACCAGAGGCCCTCTAACCTTATCATTGAGGTGTTATAAGCGTAGAAGAAAAGGATTTGTAACGTTCTTGTTGCTATTTATAAATTTGAATTTCATTGAATTCAAGCTATGCTAAAACAAGCTATGCTATGAGGACACGATTCTCTATTGAGCGTTAGGATAGGTATACCGGGGCCCTTGTCCACCTAGCTTTGCCACTGCAAGTAAAAGGCAAAAAAATACATAATCCTTGTCCGATATAATAATAAAATGAATTAAGTTTCGTTTGTAGTTGACGCAAGTGTAATACTTTAAACGCTGCGAACAGACTAAAATGCGATAAATTTAAAGTGATTTTTTTTTGTCTATGATTTGTGCATTTTTTTGTGTATACGACATATTATTTTGTTAGTTTGCAATTTTTCGTACGAAGGTAAAATAAAAACTACATTAATATTCATTATTCGAGTGAATTTATAAATTATTTTTATTATAGACGAGGATATGCACGGCGTTCAATCGGTGAACAACGATCTCAATAAGATGGCTTGGATTCCTACATCTTTAAAGTTCGACGGTGGTTCGTACGGAGCCCGGACGATACTCCGTTTCCGACCAAACGAATAAGTGTATATGTAAATACTGCCTATAGTTTACGCGAGTAGTACACATTTAAATAAAACACTTTAACGGTTTAAAACGCGATATTTTAGTTAAACTTATTTGAAAATGATTTTTAACTTCGGCCCGACGTTTCGGATGCTTTGCAGCAGCCGTGACCACGGCTGTTTTCGCGCTTTCGCATCGCGTTTTAAACCGTTAAAGTGTATATGTTTCAGGAAAATTATAAATCCATTAAAAACACATTGCACCCAAGGGGATCGAACCCAATTCGTTGATCATTAGCCATACATTGTTATTATTAGACCAACGAACCCGTCAAACGTATCATGTTCTTAAATTTTGTACAACCAAATTGATACTATATCTACATATATATACTTACAGTGAACTTCAGTCGTGTCCAAGATACAAGCCTTCTTCTTGAAGTACCTGGCTTTTGCCATTGTATAAAACATACGCGCGAAGTAAGCTATATCCAGAGTTCCATAGAGAAGAAGAGTACCGGCTACTGCGATGGCGCTCCAGCCCGGCACGCACACAGTCCACATTGTTGCTAGGCGACAATAAAAATATATTAAAACCAATTCCGGCAGCTCCCCAACCCATATGCTAACAATCAATGAGATAATTAGAAATTAGAAATCGAGTTTTATACGTCTCCACATTCTGTACTTTAAACTTAGCGGTCTTTGAACGGTTTCAAAACTACGAGCGACAAAGACTTCGTCGAAAATATACATTTTATTTCGCGAAGCAGCATATATATTTGATAAGATGCTAAAAAAAATTGGTACCCTTTTTGCCCGTTTTCACTGAACACTCAAGCTGTTATAGGATTGCTTGAAGGACGCGCGGACGACAAAAATGTATATATTTCGTTAACGTTAATTATATAGAATACGCAAGGTGCCATATTTGGTACGCGAAGAACGTGCTAAAATAATAGTGGTTAAAACAATGGAACAAATTGTATAACACTGAGATAAACTCCTTCCAAAAGCAAATAGCAAAATTTGGTTAGAATACATAAATGGCTTAGTTAAATGTATGTTAAACTACGAGGTACATTAATTTTAACATTATTGCGATTAAATTTATATCTGTAACAATATAAGAAATACTTTGCTCGTGTTATATTTGAAATAACGATCAACTATATATATGTTTATAACTGTGATTTATAAATACACAATTAAGAATTTATATTATATTCCCCGCGGAACGTTTGTTTTTTCTTTCATTCGAAATTAACGACTCGTATAAAATTTGTTCCTAATAATATTTATGTTATTAATTTATAAGATAATTAAATAAAAATTAAACTTAGTAATACTACTCACCTAATTATCGCCGAAGAATTAAACGTACTTAAAACATTACAAATTAAAGCTAGTAGTTCACTTATTTTATTGCTGAAACAGTTTTGTTAATACTGAAAATATGTTGCGGACTGTATTAAGAAAATTGCTGAAATTATTTTGACGTTTGAAGTAACATATTGCGCGCGCAGCTGGTCAATATTGCAGAATGTCGATGTCTGGTAGTCGTTTTTAGTTGACTGGCAACATTTAGTTTAGTTTAGCTACTATTTGCAAACAGCATAGCGTAAAATATAGTTTTATTATAGCATGGCATAGCTACACACAACAATTAATTCCCAAATTGTCATACCTATGTTTTAGGTGAGTGAGAATGATTTATAAATCAGCACATGATATTGTATGTCTTATAATTGCTATCCAATATTTATTATAATATCAATTGAGATTAGAGGAATTTAAAAAAGTTGATTACGAATTTATTACTCAATACGCGCAGTGAGTCTCTTTCCCATCCGAAGACTTAATAAAACTGAAATAGAATGCGGAAGTAAAAGTGAAAATAATTTTTCATGTTTCCTTAAGATGAGAAGTCAAACTATCGTTATTCGTTAGATTGACAACTTAAAATACATAATGTCGAACCCAAGCCGAGACGCCAAAGCGCACGAGACGTCACGAAGCCACGACCTCGGTTCAATAGCGACATCTCTTCCTTTCCCTCCTAGTCAAAAAGAGACAGCAACAAACATTCCGTCCGGCATCTTGTCTACGTGACGTGTATCGTACCATTCTGTGGCGCTGACGTGTTTATAACGATTGTGCGACCGCGTCCTTTGTTTATATCTCCTTTTTAATAGAAATTCGTGTATTATGCGTGAATTCAAATATAATGTTGTACATCTACTCGACGCTATACGCGATCGACCGTGCTTGTGGGATAAAACAATGGAGAACTACAGGGATCGCCTTGAAAAATGCGCAGCCTGGGAGGAAGTGTTTGCCACTGTTCATGAAGGATATAGCGAAATGAGCCCTGAAAATAAACGACTAGCAGGTAAATCTGATCTAATTCATATAAAATCGGTCATAAGTTATTCGGTGGATAGATGATAACAAAGACGGCACGGTAAAAATCGTGACGTGTCTCTCGTATGTCATAAAATCGGAATAGGTGCCGGATGTAAATATACGAGGGTCGACAATGGAACAACGTTCAAGTTGCTTGTTGGAGGACAAATTTTTAATAAAACTGTTTTTTTACATATTTAATTGCAAACATTTTTTTACGTTTTAATATTGACGGGCTCGTCCAATAATTAATTAACGGTTTTTATTTGATACGGTTTCCCCGGGATCCGACATGATCCTAATCAATTTATATTTTTTCTGAAACACGTTGGACTTCGTCTGGATATTAATTGGCGGATTATCAAAATTCCGTCGTAGTTACGAACAACCGTTTCAGTGTCGCGCTTCGGTTTCAATGTGTGGATTTTCGAATAACCAAAGCCAAAACGGGTCCACGACGCATCTGGTTTAGATGTGTATTTAGCTAGGGTATTTTACCATTAATTGGACTCTATGCTGTCCTCCTCCACCAGACAAAATATTAAAAGTCGTTACTTAATAGTCAATGTAATAAACGGTTAATAGATTTTTTTCTGATCCTACCCACCTATATCAAAAAAACTGACCGCTATTTACAGATTGCTTCTGTTACCGCACGATTTATATTTATAGATCAACCACATTAAAATACATAGTGACCACAACACATACATCTTGTTCAATTGGTGTGAAGATACTTTCCAATTATAACAGACTCAGATAGAAATTGTGTGAATAGATCAAAATACTTATGTGTCTTTCAGAGTTGATCATTTCTAAATGTACTAGATTATACAGCCTGGAAATATGATCGTAGGGTCTTGGAGAAAACTAAATGTCTCAGCCCCAATGCGCTAATATATGCGATAATATGGCGCTTCCGGCCTATCTGCTTTGAACTGTCACAATGAAATATGTTTTGTTTCCAGGTGAAAAAATACTATGCAAGTGGACAAACATACGGGACACGTTCGTAAAGTCGCTTAAAACAAGAATGGGCCGTCCGAAGAAAAAGTACATTTACTATGACCACTTGAAGTTCCTCCTCAAGCTGACGGGCGAGAAGGGTGTTACCGACTACAACGATGATTCTACTGATATGAAGATTGATGAACAGCCAAGAAAGACGAAAAGACGACGTACTGAGTACAATACTGATTCATCCGACCACGAATACCAAGCGAACAGCGAAGATTACCAAAACGATAATGACGTTGGTATCGAGAGCGTTGTGGTGGAATCGAATGATCCGAGAATCATGAATGAAGATGAGGCGTTCTTCGCGTCGCTGCTACCAACTGTCGTTAAATACTCTGAGGACGAAAGGTTAGAGTTTAGGATTGAAGTGTTAGCGGTCATGAAAAGGATAAGGGAGCAGCGGCAAGCGTGGAGCAATGTTTAAAAATACTAGTGTGCCCGCGACTTCGACCGCGTATAGTTATTTTGGCCACCACCAACATTTATCTTTGCAAACCTCCGCATCTATATCAATTTTAGTTATTACCCACAATGTCGTGATGTGATGTACTGTCGCTGACATATTTTTTAGATTATTTAAAGAGGAATCATTCTTTTATACATATTTTTGGAGTATCTTGAACCTTTTTCACCGCGCGCACAACTACCCGCAAATATAAATAATTTTCCCCCGTTTTTCCGCAACCCCTCAGCTTTATAATATTAGTATAGATGTGTAAGTAACATTTTACAGAGTTAAGAAACTGTTTTGTTGTACTTGTTGTGTATTATTCGTAAAGATATTTCAAGATAAGATTAAGAAGTATTTACTTATTTTAGTGTTAATGAAATCTGTGATATTTAATATACTGTTGTTTCATTACCTTACCTGGCATACCATGTCTGAAAATTGCCGTGATACAATAGTAAATACTTATTGCCGTGACCTCTTCTGTTACAAAGGATTATATTAAGTGAAACATTTGTGATGTTGTTCAGCAACGACCGGATGTTTCGTCCTCTTTTGGCTATAGCTGACTCAAGGCTTCAAAAAGTCGTGTCATAATGGTTAATCAATATTTCGCGTTTTATACTGTTAAAGCAAGTAAAAGCCTGTTGAATCTTTAATAGATAAGTTTAATGATCATTTTTTCTGTAGCACTTTTAAAAGTACGTTTACATAATCACAAAACACATTTCCAGTGGATTAAAAAATAAAGGACAACTTCTTAGAACACCGCAAGTTCTTTTTACAGCTAATAAACCTCCAAGTGGAAAATATAACAAAAAAACGCTTCAGCGATACTGTACCGAGATGCAGGCGGTGCGCTAACCTACAGTAAACAATAACAACGTTTGGGACATAAATCCGAACCTTACGATATAATCGTCAGAATTACTATTAAAAACCAATAAACGACCTCCAAAAGTGAATAAAAGAATTCGCCACTAACACTGGAATACGCCTTCGTTCTCTTCTCACTCACTTCAAGAGAGGCGCGGTTGCAATAACGCCGGGTACTCACCAAAAGCCATTACGAAAATCAACGTACCGATTACACGTACCCGTTACAGCGCGGGCGTTTGGTGTGTACCCGGCCGAATAATTCTATCTTACGTCTACTCGAAATAACGAACTATGATTATTTCAACACGATCGAGTGCACAGAAACATTTGAAATACAATTCACTATGGGACCGTCGCGCGGACCATATCGCTAATTCCACTATTATTATATACAGAAGTACAAGATACTACATCGCTAGCCCACCAGCCGATGTCTCGTTATGTACAAGCCGTAGAATACTGTGTTTGTTAGGTATTTGTTAGACTACGCTATATATGCATGCAGTATAACGCAACATACGATATGGGCACGTTTATAGTAAGCCAATAATATATAGTACAGTTAGGTGGCCATATTATGCGGTAGGTCGTGCTAGCTACATGCTTTTATAGCGCAGTCTAGAGCTTTAGGCTTTAAGCCGGAAAATGTTGGTGCTTCCGAACACCGAGGGAAATACAGTTTAGTGACTAGAGCGCCCCCTACCTTCAGTGACGTTTTATTTACATAATAATTGGGATTACACTTCACACTAAATATTTCTACTATAAAAAGGTTTAAATGTACAATAAAATAACACCCTTCGTGAACGCCTGGAGTGAGCCAACAGTTGGCACCGATTTTGCATAGATAAAACTCGACGTCCGTTAACAAATTTGTGCTGATTTGGAAGTCACGTGATCGACGTAAGCCGAATGGCATTGGCTTAATCAGTCTAGCATTAAGAAGGGTTATTATATATTCTCAATATAACTATAACGCTACGACCAGTAAATATTGAGTATGCTTTATCAACTATACGAAATGCTCACTAATTTACGAATACAACTTAATAAACCTTTATACAGCCTATATATTATTCTATTTATAATTTATACGAAACATAAAAAATCTAGCTTACGTAAAAAAAATCCAAACTCACTTTGAACTGTCAGGTGAACGTAAATTATATTAACACGAAAGGAACCCTTTAAACTTAGTACAAAACGTAACAAAATGAAATCGAGGGTAGACTACCATTTTTATTGTTATATACAAAACAATTTCAACAATATCATTTACACTTAGATACACCTCGTCGGAGATCGCGTTCAGTCTGGCGTCAAAACGCCCAACATAATCCTATGCTGTAACATATTTAATACATTCTGGGTATATGCTGCTTAAATCAACTTCTTTCTTTCCATTTCTACCTCACCCAGAAACCATAGAGGGCCTTGGATAAATTACATCACACGTAAATAAATTACAACACAACGAAATGTTTCAAATGTGAGACGAAATGTGAAAGTATTAAAAAAATCACGATATTCGTGTGACGCAATTTACAAAAGGATCCTAACAATTAATCTATCGTATATCGTTATAATCGCTCTTTTAGGGGATGAATTCAGTGTTTGGTTTTCTTGGTCGGGATTTCTTCGGTTTGGGCGGCGCGGGAGAACCATTGCAACAATGGCAGCCCCTCTTGACCACGCCCCTGTTAGACGCACGCCGCCTCGACTCCATGCTGTCCGGCGACCGTTCGCCGGCTCTCGTCTTCCCCGAGGTACTCCTTTCAGCTTCCGGTGGGTGATATCTCTTCGGAGGGTAGGTACGGAGTGGGGGGTGCGTATCATCTGCTGAGGAACCGTCAGCGCTGCCGCTACGTTCGATGCCCCTCGCATCCTTTATTACAGAGTCTAGTCTCATTATGTGTGTTCCTATACCACTCGAGTCGGTCGAGTTTGTCTCCTCAAAGGGGCTTTTACAGCATTTATCGCTGTCGCTGCTGAAGTCTAGCGGCCGTCTACCTTCAGACCGCTCCGATGTGGAGTTGGACTCCCAGAACATTTCGGTGTTGCGTTCGGGGGAAGATCTATCGTCATCGACGTCTGCCATCGATTCTAGGGTGGCGTCTCTTGAGTCTTCCGTCATTTTGGCGTCTTCACCTATAAGTGCATGTGACTCCAAAAATCTCGGGTCCGTTTTCTCCTCGTCGTAGCACACACGACGAATGACCTGCGTGGCGCCCGAATGTATTATAGTAGACGCGGTGTTGGATAGGTGCAATTCCCTGTTTAACATTGAGTCCAATTTGGAGACGCCGTTGTCCTTGACGAGCACGGACGGAATACTGCCCTGTTGACTGTTTGTGGGCGTGTCTGGATATTTGAGATTGTTCTGTATGCCACCGTCGGGCGTGGCTTGTGAGATGACGGTGGTTTGCGGTGCGGTTACGAGGACTGTAGCGGGCGCTCGAGACGCGTGGAATATTGTCGATGTCATGTGGCGTCCTTTGACATTTGCTATTGTGAATGGTTGTAGCTGAAAAATAACAAATCAAGTGTTAACTTTTCAATGCCATTTCTAGCATAACACTGTCTCTTTTTTATATTTTTTAATGATAGAGAAGGACAGACACTAGATGGTGAAATACCCCAGCCTAGAGCGTATAAACAAAATGCGCTGTCGACCTATTTTGGTTTTGGACTTTCAGAAGTCGAGACTGAAACCGAAACGTGATTAAACTTTACGGAATTTTCATCTATCGGAATTTCGATATTCCTACTACCCATATAATTTCCAGACGAAGTCTAACATGTTTCAGAATAATTATAAATTAATTAGAAAAATGTAGAACCCGGTGGGGATCGAACCCACAACCCGTTGATTTAATGCCGTACATTTAATTTAACTACTTGGCTTTTGGTAACTTACTTCAGACTCATCAGTAGGTTCTTTGTGGAAGGTGGTGTTGGGGTGGGACCTCGCAAACTCTTGAGGATCCAGTGTGATTGTACCATCCCCGCTCACGGTAACGATGTTGTCCAAGCCATCTAACATATTGAGATCCTCTTCATCGGGAACATCGCTGTGGTTGCTTATCAGCTGATCCGTAGCAATCTGGTCATCGAGATCTGGTTGCGGTATAGTGCTTTGGTTTATGAGGGGTTGAGCTGTAAATTTCGATACAAATATTTTAAAATTGTCCTGATATACTTTGGAGGTTGCTATATGATAATAAATAATACCAACACATAAGTTTAAATGTGTATAAGTAAAAACGACCTTATTTTTTACGTCGTTAACCCTTGTAGAAATTTTTACTGTAAATTATAAAAAAATTATAATTATTATACTAGGGATCCGCCTCGGTCCGCTCGGGTGCAATGCTGATACAAAATACACTACAGAAAAACTGTGAATGGTGTATATAAAACTCTTCCTCACGAATTACTCTATCGATCAAAAAAAACCGCATCAGAATCCGTTACGTAGTTTTAGAGATTTAAGCGTACAATAGGGACAGAAAGAGCGACTTTATTTTATACTATGTAGTGATGTACTAACGTGTATGGGAATGGTGTGGCGCATCATGAGCTGGTGATGAAGAAAAAAGAAGCTCAGCTTCAGGAAACAGCTCCGAGGCCGACGGCGAATCTACACCGAGGTCTTCACACTCCTCCGAAAGTGATTTCTGAAACATTAGCATATTCATTTGTTATTAAAATATCACATTAGTTGAACTTAAACACAGCCTTTTAAAAAGAACGGTATAACTTTATAATATCCCTTCGTAATCATCCAAAATGTCGTATTTAAATCCAGCATTATTTTTATTTTATTTATTTTTTACGAATTTTAGAAACATATACGTATTAATACAAAATAGCGCGAAAAAACCCATTTCGAGTTTTTCTGTACAAAACTATATTTATAATAATACAGTTTTAATTATACTAAATATATAAGAATACGCATTATGAATATGTAATAAACAAAGATGACACAACATTAGTGGGAACGTTTTCGGAGAGAATATTAAACATGTTTTTATTTTGTATATTTTTAGTACAAAGTGATTTTTTAATACGGTAATAAATTAAATAGTTTGGCTACCATATAGTTGAGTGTTCCATTATCATATAGGTTATTGTAACGTAGCTCTTACAAGTATGTCAGATACCTTTTTTTCTGGCGGAGTAATATTTTTTCTCTAGTTTAGTTAAGTTGTTTGTAATGTAGTTTTCCGTTAAGATATTGAGTACATTACCTGTAACCGTAGTTCGTGTTCCAAGATGGCGTATCTGTGCCTTAAGGCCGCCGCAGATACGTGGGTCAGCCTATGATGACGTTGCGTTGTACCGTCTTTTCTATGTACAACCTACATATAAACAAAGCAGTTATCGCAACAGTTTACATAGTGATATTTCACGATATAGATAATACGTCTAGTGAGGTAAATTTTTATCACATTTCTAATAACGCTATACAGATACTACATGACAGACTCGAAAAGCTAACAATGTTTGTTCTGACAAAATACGTAAGCTGTTATCGATAGTAAAAAGACATTTACAAGCTTAATTGAATCAAGAGCGAAGTTCTGCCGAATTAAACTAATTAACAGTTAACATAGTTGCCATTCAAAGTAATGAAGATCTCATGAAGAATGACATGCGGGTCTTGTTGTAATGGATTTCGACGAACGTAGTCAACCATGCAAAATAAAGACAATTTGGACTAACTAATGAACGAGATATAATCGAAAGGAAGCGTTAAACATTTTCCTAACATAAGAAGTTCAAACGTATAGAAAAGAAAAGACAAAGACAACGGAGGCAACATCAACGACTTAGAAAAATGGGTTTGGGTCGTTATGCGTAAGTTCTTAGAATATAGGAGCGACAAATCTAATGTACCTTTAAAGATGAAACTTTTACGCGTTTTTGGATAAGCAAAAAGAAATTGGGGTGATCAAAGACCCCGTCGAGGTAAGTAGAAATGTCGCGTCTATATTATAACGTCTTGTATCAAACCATACACGCAACGAGAGAAGCTGACAAAATAAATTGAGGCGTGCAGGTCTACTATAGGCTTCTAATTGTTGTAGGGTCTGCGTCAGGACTACGATATGTTCACCTGGTGATAGGGCTTATCGTCGCAATCGGACGCGTCAATATCGTAACCGCAACGAGGTGAATCGTCTTGAGAATCGATATTATAGGACTTTTTCGAGTCGATATCGAACATCTTATCAAATATCCTTTGCGCCTCCATATCGGGGCTGTATCTGTCTGGGATCGCGTCCTGAAGTTGCAAAATGTGGTTCACACACAAATAACGGCTGGATTTTTGAAAACTGCTCGTGTTTATAATTTTAGGGTATACTTACGAGAACTGTGCGGTCCAGGTTGTCGGATCTAACGATTTCCTCATACGAATAGTCGTGGGGTTCGTTGGATGCGGCGAGGTTCCACGGTTCGGTACTCTCCGGACTAGGATGTTTATCTGGTTTTGCATCTTGGTTATCACGTTCGGCCCAGGGTGAAGCGGTCGCTCTGGTGTCAATCAACTCTGGTGGATTAGGATTGACCACCGCAGTGCTATCCGGTTGCTGACTGGCCGTTGAACCGAGAGTAAAAGCCTGCAGATTTTGAAGCGCAGCTGCCGGTAACCGTACGTGACGAACACCCGGTCTTGTCAATACCGGTTTTAAGCCAGGGCCGATAAGTCGCTGCAGTAAAACAGCATTTCCACCGGCGTCGCCACCTCCGACCGTCAATATTTTTGGCCCCCGATTGGTAACTATAGCTATCTGCTGACCACTCTTTACCATAGAAACTGGCAAAATGTAATTAGCCGGCATTAGCACTGCAGTGGTTGGTTTGCCGGTGTTATTACGTGCTACCGTTATAGTTTGACCGTCGGCTACTATAACATTTCTCTGCGGTTGTGGGCGCGGCGTTGCTGCTGTTTCATTTTCAAAGGTTAGTTTCCGAACCACTTTCCGTGGACTGTCTTGCGGAGAGTGACTATCCAAGCAACTGTCGGCACAGTCACCTTGAGATGTTCCACAGCTGCTATCTTCGGAACCCATAGTTCGACAAGTATCTTCCCCGTGCACTGGACTCATGTCTCGAGTACCGGGACGACGAGAACTACTAGAGCTCTTCTTTCGTTTCGACGAACCGGGGTTTGAGGGTGGATTGGATCGTCGTCGCGGTGCCGGTTTATCTTTATCAGGAGAATTCTCTACCTGCTCCTTATATTCAGCCAATATGTATAAAATACGTTGAGTCGTCTGTTCATCTTCGAAAGGTTTTTGAGTAGATGGCTTAGGTGGTACTGGATTTATTTTCACCGAGCTCGAGGGCGGGTGTGGCGTCGGTTTAGGTCTAGGCTTCGGTTTAGAACTTAACTTTGCAGACTTGTGCTGATTCTGTGGCGAGGTTAGGTCATTTGATTGGGCTTCTGTCGTAACACCGTGCGGTAATTGAGCTTGAGTTGATGATGAAGGAGAGTCATTTGCATTCGAAGAATCAGGTGATCTTACATACGATGTGACACTCGGTGTAGTCACTGTGGCCTTGCGATTAACGTAAGCGACATTTAGCGACGAATTATTTCCGATCGTATATAGAACTTGATGAGTAGATTCTGTAGAAGATGATGAGCTATGAGACGGTGTATCGCTCGTCTCGGTAGCCGAAGTCTGAACCTTATTATAATTAATGTTGGTAGAAGGTTGATTAGGGTTACCTGTACTTCTTTCTTTTACTTGCTCCAGTACCATATCAAATTCTCTAAGCTGTTCAAGTGTAGAAGAACTCATCTGAGATTCGGGAGATGTTTGGTTTTCTGTTGGAACCTTGATTATTCTATTGGTTTGAGACTGTGGAAGCCTTATTGTCTGATGTCCAAGTGGAGGAGCCGCTGTTAACACCAATTGTTGGTAAACTGGTTGGTTGGTTCCACCTATAACGTTTCTCTGTATTTGAAAGAAAGAAGGCCGAACAACTCTACTTCCTGAAACCATTTGCGAAGGTTTACTCAACATCGGTAACTTTATCCGCATTTGAGTTAAAACTGGTTGAGGTTGAGGATTTTGAGTGCAATCATTTGACGTTTGACCTCTATTATCTTCAGTGGTTGCTTCCGAATTAGTGGTTTGATTCGGTGGATATGTGGATGTTATTTTTATAATTGAGGGTTCCACATCAGGTTGGGATACATGTTGTTTCTGGTTGGAATCATCTATTAGTTCGGTGCTTGGAACCGTTATTAGATTAATGGTTTGTCCTCCGCCAATATTAACAGGAATTTGTCTAGTGTAAATAACTCCGCCGTGCATGGTTTGCAAATTCATAGGCGTTATGGTTTGCTTCAATTGTTGCACCAAACTGGGTTGTGCCGTTTGGGACTGTGAAGTAGTATTTGGTTTTCTCAATAGTAGAGGTGGACTGTTGATCTGCCCGATGTGATCCGTGTTACTAGAATTTTCAGATTGACATTCTGAATTGTTTTCATTAGAAATTGTTGTATTTAAATGCGAGTGGTTCTCATTAACATCATTCCCTTTTTGATTTTCCTCTTGAAACACTTGTTTGCCAAATGCCTGATTGAATTTTGGAAGACTAGTTGACTTCTCTGCTAGAGGTGGTTTCCCGGAGTTTTGTATAAATTTGGCATAATTTTCTTCATACACAGATCGTGACTTAATTTCTTGTTGATTGTTGGTAATTTCGTTGCAGTTGTGTTGTGGAGCTGTAACATTTCCATTTGTGTTCACTTCGGTTTGCGTATCTGGCGGTTTACTGTTACTATTTTGAACGCTAGGCGACTCGATAGGTTGTATTCGCAATACCATACTTCGTTGATGGGGTGCGTTTAATTGGATAGATTTTCCGTCTGCAGATTTACAAACAAATTGAACCATTTTCTGTTCATTTCCCCCTTGAACGTTACTAATGTTTGTTACCAGGTTAACTCTTTTTATTAGTTGTCCAGTATTGTTTGTTTTTTGAGCACTAGTATTAACGATATGGAGCAGTTGACTGCCTCCCTGTTGAACATTACTTCCTTCTACCAGAGATAGTCCATTAAAAGAATTCTGCGATGCTGCGTTATTAGAAGGCATGGGGTGCGATTGCCCTTTGTTCTGGACTATGTGTAGTATTGGTGTGGGATTTGATGTATTAATTACTGATTGTTGGGGATTGTCAACCAATAGATGATTTACTGACGAGTTCTTCCCTTGGACTATATGAAGTACTTGAGCGTTATTCGGAGTTTGATTATTGTTGTCAGTGACAGTTGATCTATTTAATGGCGGTGGTAATATTTGGGCCAAAGCTTGATGTAGCGCTATAGAATTAATAGAAGTAGTTTTTGAATAGCTATTACTGAGGCTTCGCTGTTTATTAATTTGTTTTTCATGTGAGGTATCACACATTATGTTATCCAACGAATTACTTTCATTTGTTATTAATGGCTCAGTATTAGTAGCTATGCCAGCTGCGTTCATAGCATGAGCTATTTGATCTGTCTTTTCGTTTGTCTCTTCATCTGTTATAAATGCATCAGTTTCGTTTAACGTTTGAAAGGATAAATGTTGTGTCTCTATATCTGTGCTTGAATTATTGGCGTCAAAGCAATAATCTTGATTATTAATATGACTACCAATAATATTTTGCAATTCATTTTCGTTGTCATTTTGATCCTCAGTGTCTAATACTTCTTCAGCAATTTCTATTTTCACAATGGAATTTACTTCTGTTTCTATTGGTATATTTTCTTCGGAAAATGTTACTTTGTTGTTTTCAGTCATACTTTGACTACTTTGTCTTTCATAATCCTGCGCTAATGGTAGGCTTAAGTCAGCGGTTGTCAATTCGGTGTATTCCGTTTTCATAGACGGTTGTGAACCATCACGAGGACTATTTTCTGCAGAACACTGAGGAGGACTAGCGTCTGTGACTTGTGTAACGCGCGGATCGCATGTGACAGGATTTTGAGCGGCGGCACTAACGGGCAATTGTCCTACTTGAACAACTTGAACAATAACTTCTAACGAGGGTGCTCCAAAAAAATCTAGATCCTCAATATTAAAGGGATAATTACTTTCTAAGTCAGGATAAACACGTTTTTTGTTTCCCTTTGTGTTATTGAATATCCAGTCGTGATTTAATTCCAGCGATGTTCGCTTAAAAAATGTTCGCACCTTATTTTTGAGGCGTATATACGATATATAACGATTTGTAATTTCGTCTTCATTTTTTTCCAAATCCCTATTTTTTATTGTTTTAATATGAGAACATGTCGATATTGTAAACGGCTGAACAGGTTTTACGTCCGACAGAGTCGCAGCCGAAATTTTTGTATGAGCATTTCGATCTACATGTTGTTGTAAAACTCTGTCGGACCCCTCACCAAAACCCATTCTAAAATTAATTTCATCAATGTCATTAGATTTATATTCACTACTGTGCGTATTACAAACTGATATTTCGTCAGAAAGAGTCTGTTTCAATGGGTCATATATCATCTCTGCGTAATTATCATTAACATTAAAAAGTGTGTCGTCACAATTAGATGTATCGACGATCGCCTGAATTTGCCCTTGTATGGGCCATGATGTAAGCAATTGGTCCACGTCAATATTTTCTATGTGAAACGGTCTTGAAAAAGAAAACTTTATAGCCTTCATGTAAGTCTGTAACGCAGTATATTCTTTCACATAAGCCGACTCTTTTATTGCCTTAACCGGTATTTTCGGATAGTCAATGTTCTTTCCCTTTCTGTAACGCTTTTCACCAGTTTTAAAATCGATGATATTGCCTTTCCTCTTAAGATTTCTTGCAGCGCGAGACTGAGAATTCTTATCGGATCCTTGTTTTGAATACGTGACTTTCGGTAAAGTAATGTCTAATGCAGCTGATTCTATATCTTCCTCTAAGTGTTTCGGAGTATCAGGTAATACATTTAGAATCCCAGAATCTATATATGGACGAATAGGAAATAAGTAACAAGTGCCAATTATTGGATCTTCATATATGGTACCCTTCAAAAGAACTTTAGAATCACCCTTATAAAGTAAAGTTATTTTATCGTTGCCGCCAATTCCGGTGGTTTCACTGTCTTCTGGTTTGTTGTTTGTGATCTTTTCTTTCTTTGGACCTACAAAGTCATCGGTTTGTTTTATGTCCTGGACATTTGAATCATATACAATTTTTTCACCATTTAGTTCAGAAAGGTAGTTTGAACTTGCTAACTGACTTGATTTAAGATTGGAAATTGTATTAATAAGATATGAATCAAAATTTAACATGGTTTTATTTTCGCTTACATACGTCGTATTTTCTGTGTCATGACAATTTTTTGATAATTCTTTCTTGACATCTTCATTTTGTTTAAACTCTTTAGACGTATCGTTTGTTCTTGTCACATGGTTTTCCTCTTTATTATAATCTGACGAAGATACCACCAAAACACTTTGATTCTTTTCTAATTGCTTAGAATTATTAACTGTAGATGTAAGTCCAATGTCAACCAATTCTCCATTTTTGTCGTGTGGAATTCGTAAAGGCATGTTAACGCACATATTTGCATGACTTTCTTGATATGCTCCAACGTTAGTATGCTTTGATATTTTACAACGATTATTTTCCGAGATAAATAGCCTTTTCCTTTTACGGGAATTCGTAAAATTTCTGTTTTGCATGGATTTTGGAACAAACGGTGTCAGAAATTGTATGATTTCATTTCTTTTAAAAGAAGTTAAAAACAATCGATGATAAGCTAGAGACGGTATTTGTAAAACGTTTATCTATCACTGTGTTATTCGAGGATTTACTGTCATTTATTTGAATAATAAGCTTCATTTGAGATTTGGTGAAGTGCCATTCCGTATCACAAATAATAGGCGTTATTCTACGTTCGCTCAACATAGTCTTTGTTTTCTCATAAATATCAGTATCTGTTTCATTGTTCTTTAGTATTGTATCGTTGATTGGAAATATAAAATGTGGCACGTGACATTTTGTATTAAATCGTATTGATGCTTTTGTTGTCAACCATTCCGCACAACAGTATGACATCAAGATTTCCACTTCAGAGGTTTTATTTTTAAATTTACTGTTTTCAAGAGAATTAAAATTAAACACCGGTATTGATTCACAGCTCTCCAAAATAGACGGCGATGCTTGACCATCTTCTGTTTCGTAATTTTGAAATATGTAATCGGTTTTTTCATCTTCACCTTTATGTTCCTTTTTAACATTTCCTTGAATAATGACAGACTTGTCCTTACAGTCATACTTTAATAAAGCTAACTTTTCTAAAGGAAAATACTTCTTTAAGCAACGACTCATGTTGTCCCAATAACGAATCGGGGTCTTAGTTGTTTGGGCTTCATTATGTTTATCACTTACATTAATATTACTTATTTTTGTTATGGAATCTTTATTTTCTATAATTTTCGTGGCCTTTATATGTGATTCTTGCAACTTCTCTTCTTCTGATGCACTGTACAAAGATGTTGCTTTTTCTTCCTTCAATTTGTATGGATTTATTTCATTAGAGTGCAATTGAATGACTACCTTATCTTCAAAATTTATATCACTCTTATTATTTTCTTTATCAGTTGGAAGTCCAATGGTCATTTTTTCATTTATAGTATCTGTAATGAGAATTTGGCGGTAGTTAATTGTATTTTCCTTTGAAAACTTTTTAAATGTTGTTTCCAAAACTTCAGTTCGTTTGATCTGTATGGGTTCTTTGTCTGCGTTATTGGCAATTTCGACTTTATTATTAGATAGGTTCTGTTGAAATACTTGTTCATTATAATCTTTAATATGTTCTTGACAATTGTTTTGTTGTTCTGATGATTTTCCAACCTTATAAAATACATCAACGTTCAGTGACGTGTCAGTTAAAGTCACAAGGTTGTTCTGACCATTTGTATGGTCTAGTTTATCAAATTCAGATATAATTATTGCATCATCGCGTTTTATAATGTCGTCAGAGATGTATGCATTAAGGTCACCTGTATACACTGTGGTAGATTTACACTTAGGCGCTTTTTGGTTACAACAAATAGAATTTTCTTTGATATCTTCTAACTCATCCAAAAACTTGTCAGGTGACATTACTGTTTCATCTTCACACTCTCTTTCATATTTTTTGTAATGGTGATTGTCTATAGTATCTTTTATGTCTTTGTTTTCAATGTCTTCCTTACTGAAATGGACATTACATCTCTGTTTCTCAGTAGTATCTGCCGAAATTGAGGCATTGTTTTGGTAGGAATTACATAAAACGTCTGGAATGTCACATCTTATAAGCTTAACGTAGCATTTCTGTACTTCAATATTTTTCTTATGATCATTGGTAGAATCACTTATATTATTTTTTATATTAATTGTGTTTTTACATTGTCTAAAGTTAGACATGTGATCAGTGGAGATTGTATTTATAACATTGCTCGTTTTATAATTAGGGTCATTGGTATTTGACAATTTAAGACCTTTAATAATAGAATCCCTTAATAAATCAAGATCTGCACTTAATTTAGGCTTTAACGTATAGCAGTCTTTTCGAAGTGGCTGTAAAATCTGAGTTTCTATTTCAGAACCACTAGAGCTGTCGTCTATTTCTATGACGTCTATGCGATCATCACCTGAATTCTTAATCACCGAGTAATCATCAAGTTTAGTAAAATTGGTTTGATAATTTTCACATGCAGAATTTAACTTCAAACACGCTTTCGCAGCAATAACTTTTTTCATAAAGTCATTATTTTCTAATTTTACTGCGCATTTTTGTGAAAATCTTTTTTGATGTTTTTCAATAATGTCACGTTCTTTGGCAGAGACGTTAAAGTCTCCGAATTCTGTTTTAAAAACGTTATTTTGACATTCATCACTTTCGTCATCACTGATTAAATTTATAGTTTCTTTTTTATTAAGTGTAAAATCTGCATTTAATATAGTATTAACAAGAGTTTCTTTTGAAGCAACGTCATTAGGAATTTTCGTCTGTTTTACATTTAGAGTACAATGTTTACTCTTACTTACGTCGTTGAGTAAAATGTTTTTGATTTGCGGATCAGAAAATATGGAGTTAATATTTATGTCAAACTTACCCGATATGGTAGCTCGGAAAACAGTACCATTGGGTAACTTTATTCTCACATTCCGTTTTGTTGAACAATCTGTGGATTTTCTAGGGATTTCTTCGAATTCAATAGAATCCTTATATTGATCTAGTTTAGATGAGTTTTTATTAAAGTCATGGTCAAAATTTGGTGCATCTTGATCTTGAGATGAAATGTCCTGCTTTTCCTTAGTTTTGTCACAAACACTTGTTGAGATTAAAGATTGATTAGACTCTTTCCTAGAAGTAGGAGCGGTAGAAATAACATGAGCATTGAGGTTTTTTCACTTGTTTCTTTGACATTTGTTTTTTTTGTAACATCTAAAGGTTTTTTTCATTTGTTTCTTTGCAATTCAGATCAATCATAGGTTTCTCGCGTGAATGTCTGTTTTTGTTCAATAATGTTTCTTGATTTAGTACACCAATCATTTTGTTTTCCCCATGTTGTTTGTTAGACACATTTGTAATAGATGTTACTTCCCTTGTGTTTGGGTAGAACAATTCTGTTTTCTTTAATGGTGTATATGGCAATGCAATAGGCCCTAGACATATTCTCTGACAATATTTTCTATTCAATAAAGAAAAACGTTTCTTTTGTAATCGCTCTGCGTGATTTTGTAGGTTCAAGTCTTTTTCTTTTAATGTATTTTTACAGTCGCCATACGATTTTTCTACGTCAGTGTTTTGATCGGCAAAAATTTCCGTATGCGTATTATCTTGTGATTTAGACTCAATCATATTTTCTTTCCATTGGTTTACTTTTTGTGCCTGATTATTTTGCATAATATGTTTACTTGAGACAAGTGATGGTGAAATAATTTTAGAGATGTTAGCGGTCATCACATCATTGATAATTTTTTTATCACATTGATTTACAGAGCCGGTTACAATTACACTATTATTTTGTATGTTTTGGTCTTGAATAACTTCCGTTGAAATTTGGTCTTCGGATTTTTCTTTCTTGGGTGTAATAGTGGATAACGGATTTATCGTAGTATCATTCGCAGGCTTCAAAGAAGCTTTGTTATTTGGCGTTATCATGCCCACCGACATAGAAGTTTCTTTTGACTTGATTCGCGAACTTGATAATTTTGTGCTGAGAGTTATGTTGACATTATTCGACAGCGAAATTAAAGCGTTAGCAGCCGCCAAATTTGATCTTTGACAAACTTGCTTTTCATTAGTCGATATCAAACTTGAAGATGAATTCAACCTAGAGTTATGATGTTTATTTTTGATACAGCTACTCCTCAGGGAGATTGATGGTAACGGGTTCACAAATTTCGTGTTTTGTTTTATATTCATACTGGATTGCAAAGCAGGTGACGTTACAAACGAATTACCAGTCCGAGCTGTTACAGCAATATTTTTTGACAAAAACGCAGAAGTAACGGGTTTATTGACCCGACTTGATTCCTTTACAAGTGTCTTCTTCGGTCGAGATGCGTCTAATGATACGTTTGAATTATTTTGGTTACCGCTATTAAGATGCATTTGTAGTCTATTTACGACTAACTCATTGAAAAGTACTCGAGGTTCGTTATCGTTCTTGTTGTCATTGATTTTTTGTGGGTTAGATATTATAACACTTTTTGGGTCAACGCATGTTATTACTTTGTTTTGACCTTTCGTTTTGTCTATGGAGCAAGGCTGCGAGGTGGCCGTAGGATTTGCCAGAATAACGCCGGTTCCTGGTAGGGTGACTTTTTCGCTAGGAGTATACAAGTCCATTGGAGAATAAGTCTCATCATCTGAAAGTTCACGTATTTCTTGTCGAAGATCATCATCTATGAGTTCATCCAGTAAGTCATAATCGGAGTTGGGAATGCCAGAAATAAAAGGATCTGGATTTGTTTTCATTTCGAAATATTTTGTAGTAGGCTGTAGTGTTTTCGACCGTGGTGCAAGTATCGGCTTGCTATCCGATGTGTTAGTTATTTCATTCCTAACAATTTCTTTTGCAGTTGCTTTATTTAAATCATCGTTTAACTGTGACACATTTTTCTCGATATTATTCTTTTTAAGAGCTACATCAAGCGCATTCGGTCCGCGACTTGGAGTTTTGTGTTTTAGTAGATCATTGAGTACACTTTCCCAATTGGGTCGGACAGGTACTGATGTTGTGTCATCTTTCTTTTGGGACATCATTTTCTTTGGTCCTACCTTTTTCTTCACCGCACCTGCCTTAAGTGAACTGTCAATTGCTCTATTAGGATCATACTTTAGTTTAAATGTATCAGATGTAGGTAATTTCTCAGTTGCGCAGTGCTTAGCGTCTTTTGAATGATTTAATTTTCGATTAATCATATTTGGTTTTCTTATGTTAAAATCACTACTGACGCTTAACAAATTCTTAATGGATTCACTATTATTGAGATTGTTATGTTTTAATGCATTAAAATGGCAGCTCTCTGCTTTTGTATCATACATCTTAACATTGTCTTGCTCTCTTTGAACATAATTTGTATTTAAGTTACATGGTTTGATAACTGAACCCAAAGTCTCAGTTCTAAAATCGCTGCCACGCTGCATAATTTCTTGCTTATTTACGTCTCTAAAGTCTAAAATTTTAGAGTTCGATGTATTTTCAACCTTTGTCGCGGTTTGTTGTTTGCCTTGAGTAGGAGCATCGTTCCTAACGCTTGGTATTGTACAAGTGGAAGGGTCGTTAGAACTTACTGGCACGGTAAATTCCGACCTCGTTGAAACGGACATAAGAGCATTAGATGCATCAAGTCTGCCTTTTTGCTTTAGTAGATGTAAGATATCGTTTTGATCTTTATTAGACAGCCTGGACTTGTTCGATTTCTCAATAATAACATTTTTCGCATTTATATCTTTAGTAATGGAAACTTTATTTTGAGTAACATTATTTGTAAATGAATTTTGTGTCTGTATTGCATGAAGTAGCGTCTGATGATCGTGGTAGAGCTGCGGTACCGTTTGCTGAGGTTTTTTTACGGTCGATACATTGGAGGCATTAGCTTTTTTACTAATTCTATTAATTTGAATTTCAGCTGCTCTTTGTAGATTGGTTGGTAGGATGCTACTTAATTCATGGGTAGCAGATGACAAGCGATAAGTTTTGGCCCTTTTTTCCTCCTCAGTTCTTAATTTCTGTTCGATCTGTTTATTTTTATGATAGCTGAGACGAGAAAAAGTATTTGGGGCATGTTCTGCTATCTTAGACGTCTTTGAAATTTTTGTGCCCACACTGCTGTCTGCGAGTTTCGTTTCAAGGATTTGTTTCGGCAGGGTCCCGGAATTTATGCTTTGATGGTATCCTTTCAAAAAACCTTGAAAGTTCTTTTGACTTGGATCGTACATAATAGATAAAAAATCTTGTTTCGAAGCGGAAGAAAGTTGTTTGTTGTTCATTGAAGTAGAAATTTCAGAGCGCGGTAAAGACTCTTTAGTAGTTTGGTGTATCTTCTGGTAAGTTGGAAATGACTGCCTTGTGGTACTATTTGAGTTTTTTATTGGTAGTGAATTTTGACTTTCAGTCTTGGTTTTTGGTGGGAAAACGTTGCTTACGGCGTGGGATCTAGATAAAAGAAATTCTTCAAACGCCCTTTGACTTGGCGACTCATTTTGTTTCTTGTGGCTTGTATTATCTATTATATCATTTGGAATGGAATAATTAACAGACGACGGAATATTATGATTTTTTAAGATATTTTCATCTAAATTCGTTCCGGACATTTCACTCTGACCCAATGACAATTTATTGTCAGATTTTGCCATTGTGCCCAATGAATGAACGCCTGAATATTCTTTAAGACCCAACTGGTGCGATCTCACAAAATTATCACGACGAAATTCAAGAAGTTTTTTTATATCAGTTTTCTCTTCGCTGTCGTCTATGTGTGCATTGTTAGCTTTTATACTTATAGGTCTGTTATTGTTAGGCACTGTTCGTGATGCAGAATTTATTGTATCCACAGTTTGAGTTAGGTAATTTGTATTTAAATTACATTCTGGTAAATTCATGTCATCCACAGAAAACAAACCATCAATAATAACATTAGAGCTCTCTTGTGCAGCATTGACTATTATTTCTTTACTACAGAGTGGTCTCGTTGGATACATCATTCTCTCAGTGTGTTTAATAAGTTTGCGTAGTTCACTGTTATTTTTAAATTTCATATTAACGAGTTTGTTTAATGCACTATTTGAAGCAGCTTCTTTTTTGGGTTGTGTTTCTGTGGGTGCTTTTTTCTTTTCCCTTGAATTGCTCTTTTCTTTAACATCCTTCTTATCCTTAGCTAATTTCTTTTCTTTCAGCCGCACCTTTGTTTTATCGATTTTTGACGTTTCATCAATGTCTCTACAAACGTTGGATTGCCCACTGTCTCGGCTGTGTTCTACAGTGTCCAAACCTGTTGTCTCAGGCTGTCTAACTGCGTCTAGTTTGAGTGGATCTTCCAACATAGATGAAATGACAGCAGGAATTTTCTTCTTCTTTCTTCTGCGTCTAACAACAGTAGAATCATCACTGCTTGGCGATGGGCTTTCATAGAAGGCTTCTTGCCAGATTTCTGGGGGCACAGCATCCGCGAGTGGTTCTTGTAATTCTACTAAATGTTCATAGCCTGCGAAGAGTTCATTTTCTTGATAAAACTTTAAACAATATAAGTACAGTACTTTAATATGACAAGAAAATTAGATTTCTTTAAATGCACTGTCTATTAATTACGTCAAATCGTTATGTACTTAAAATTTACTCATTCTGTATATAGTTTACGCAAATAGTACAAATTTAAATAAAATGGTTTAACACGCGATATATTAGTTAAGTTAAACTTATTTGAAAATGATTTTTAACTTCGCCTCGAACTTTTTAATGCTTTGCAGCGTTTTAAACGGCTAAAGTGTTTTATTTAAATATTTACTCATTCTGCATTAATTATGCATTGTATGTTTTTATGCTATTAACAGATCGGTCAACTTGAAGGTTTGTTGTTCAACTAATTTATCAAGATTATGGTGATAAATTAATGGCTTATAAGTTTAGTATTAATTTAAAAAAAAACTAAAATGTTTTACCCTTTTCAATGCCATAGTAAATATCATCTTCATTGTTCACTTCCTCTGGTAGGTGCTGGAAGGACCGTGGATCTAAGTTAAGAAATTTGAGCTCAGTCGTAAGAGCCCGCGTACCAAAGTCAGTACGTTTCATATACGCCCTGCAGTTATCTAGTAGCACCTCACTGGAATATGAATATTAGCTATTATAATTACGCTAATGTGTGATGTAACCAATTACTAACTAAAAATTTAATTAGCATAACTAAACAAAATTAAAAGAAAGAAATGTATAAAACATTAGTAGATATTACGAAATTAATTCGATATAATATCAAATCTGAAGGGGTTGTTGAAGTAATGGTACGAATAATCAACGGGTCTTAATTTCGATCCCCTCTGGATACTGCGTGTTTCATCAATTTACAATTTCTCTGGGACAGTTAAGACTTCATCTGGAACTACCGTCCACAAATGAAAACTGCCGTGGGAAGTATTCGCGTTTTGTTATCATTTCCGAGCATCCAAAGTAAAAAAAAAGTTGTTAGTTTTGTTTAGATGTAATGTAGATGTAATACGGCTGGGCCTATACCTTCTATTCAGGGAACATCACGCTTGTCTCTCTTCTTCTAGCATAAAAAAAAGATAATAACACATGAAAGGATTAAGCTCACCGTTCCATGTCCCATGTAAGAGTTTTTACCCTCGGACCTGATAGAAGTACAGCTAAATCATTGCAAAGCTCTGGGTCAAGACCTAGCGCTTCGCCTTCGGAGAATATTGATGTAGACAATATGTTAGCTTGTTGTTGTGTCTTCTTTATTTTCAGTGTCTCTGATGTCTTCACCAAGTTGGTCTGTGTCCTACTGTCTGTGGCCCAACTTCCGAATTCTGATGTTGTTTCTGAATTTATTTCATGAGTGTCCTGTAACCGATAAAATTATATATAACTACTATGCGTAAAATGAATGGTCCATTATTATGGTTGTAAAACAATATAAAAAACAAAGAGTTATAGCGTTTATAAGGATAAGTTTAAGTACCACTTATGCACGATGCATGCATGCTGAAAAGTATAACAAACGTCGTGTTAAAAAATAATAAAATTAAAAAAAAAAGTCGTCATAATAGTGATTTTTGATATCGCTTAGTCCATATAATATAATGCATATTTCTTTATCCCTGTGCCATCATCTGTGCCACAGCTTCAATCTATAAAAGATCATCACTAGTTTTCTATGGTATAAAATCGGCCATATTTCTGATAGTCCAATTGCCAAGTTAGAAAAAATACACTATACTGATTTTTTTAACGAACCTTGATGGGTTCCAATGCAGGTGCGCTCTTAACCTCTTCGTACATTATAGGTGAAGGATGTACAGAGAAGGCTGTCAATACACACTCATATTGAAGCCGGTTGCTCTTCGATAAAAGGGTACCTAGGTTTTTAAACCACGTAGACAGCGTTTTCTCTGTGGAACGCGCTTCTGCAGACTGAAATATTTATATAATCTAATTTAATGAAAGATAAACTTTACTTTAAATACATGTGACAAGTTTAGTCCTGGTTTATTTAAAGAGCTTTAACAAGAGAATTCGACAGGTAGTTAGGAGCCCAGCGGTAGGGAACAAAAATTTTCATAGGCTTGTTGGTCCAATGGCAGTATCACTGATTATTATGAATGTTCGCATGGTACTGGGAGTAACACGGTAAACCTTATTTTTCTATTATTGTCTAGAATATCTAAACATTAAGCAGGTGGTAAGAATATCTAAAATCCTGGCAGATCAGAATGTAAAATACCATAAACTGTAATCTCATTGCTGTTTTGGTTGGGCAAAGCCAAATTAGTAGATAGTGCATCTGGTTTACAAGTTCTATTGCTAGGGTATATTATTACTTTTTATGGTGAAAAATAAACTGATTAAGTTAACGGCATGCTTGGCTTTTCGCTTCTGTTACAAAAATTACACATAACATTCAGTATTGTATTAAAGCACAACTTCGGATAATAAAAAAGGTTGTAGCCTGTAATCATAGCTATAAAGAAAAATGTTACTCTGAATGAACATATAATAATTACCTTATCCTTGTCTAATTTAAGTTTCTCTAGTTCGTTCATACCAGCAGTGATCGCACGAACGTATAGCTGGCAGGTTAACTGGATTCTCTCGCCTTTTAACTGAAAGTTGTCATATAACATTTTAGTTAAAGTTATCATGGACTCTTCACATCGCGTTTTGTAAAATATTACTACAGTACTAATAATAGCACAGGTATTTAATTTCAAATTGGGAGTGAAATATGAAAAAACACTAATCTGTATTTACAGACGTTCTTTAAAGATTTGTTATACAGAAATGTGTATTATGCTCCAGGTTAAACATAGGAGAATGGGAATCACACTTTGGAAATCAGTTTATTTATTTATACATCAACAGATCTGTACAAACATTACTTATTAATACATATTATTAGTATATAAAGTAATTGTATTATGATACTTTACATATTTAATACAATTTTTCTTTATCATATTAGCATATTATTGTCTTTCGGGCTGTTCAGCCGATGTGAGCGAGAAGAGGTTCTCGACGTTTCGCCATCACGTGTGGACGGCATCTTCAGGAGATGTTGACTCCTCGATTGCTCGAAGAATTCTTCGAGCTCACATCGACCGAACAGCCCGAAAGACAATAATATGCTGATCGATGGCCGTGAAAGCCTTACTCAATTTATTTATCATATTAATTTCACATTTATCTATTAAGACTATTTTCTATATACTTAGGACAACACTAGTCGGACTATCTTTCAGTGACGCCGAAAGCTATTCATACTAGGAGTATTGCAATATACCTGTTTATGCACAGCAGCTGCCATGGTGTGCAGATGATGCGCAGTAGCAGCTGGAGCAGCTAGCGCTCCGCTGGCTGTGCTCAGTTGGTCGGTCTCGGTCATAAGACGGACCATGGAGCGCGTGCAGCCGTAAAGCGCCATTAGCACCGCCCCGCGACAATTCGGCACGACCATGCACCGCGTTATGGTTACCTAAGAATTAAAATTTTATTATGAATATCATTATTACCATATAATCTAAAAATCGAAATTGAAAAAATGTTCGACTCGGGCAGGACTTGAACCGGCATTCCAATTGAGCTACCGAGTCCTACACCTCTCATCATCGAACTTTTTCAACTTATTGATACATGCACCTCTCGCGCAATGTCATTTCAACCTTAACACTTGCGTACTAAGGTTCAACGTCTTATGCTTTGCAGCTTAAGAAAATCATTAAAGATGAAATTACAAAGTTATAACGTTTGAAAACTTTAATATTGTTCATATGTTATTATTTTTGGACATGAATGCACTATATAATGAGTCGAATTTTTTTAGATTTTAAAACATATACATATATTAGACATGTGAAAAACATTAAAGTTTTCAATCATTATCACCGTTGGAATTTTTTACCAACTTAAGTACACTAAGCGTGCTATGTGAAAAGATTAATATTTCTGTGTCTGTGTTTGAAAATTCTTTAACTATTAAAAAACTAGCAATGCTATAATTGTTGTTAGAAAATAGTAGGTGTTCCTTACTTACGTTACTAGTTTAATAGATAGAATGAATAATGCTTTGTTTGATATGTACATACCAAGTTATGTACATATCAAAAATATATATATTTTTTTAAATTGCTTAAATAAAATGTGTCTGAAATAATTTCAGATTGCAAAGGGGCTAAACTTTTATAACTTCTTATAAAACAAACCATTTACATAACATAAATATACCTTGAAAAAAAAAGGTAAGAAACACACAATCATATGGATATGTGTGTATAGAAAACAAAAAGTTGAGAAAAAGTTGAGAAAAAGTATACTTTAGAGATATCCCTTGTGGGCTAACACATTTCTGCTACCCTTTGAAATAAAGAATATAAAGCATGGAATAAGGAATCTAAAAAGGTATCCCAGGATTTCTATAAACCATTACAGGTCAAGTATTAAAATGTGATGTTTTGTGTACACATAGTAGATAGAGTACAGCGAAACCAACCTGTGCAATTAATAAAGCGACTGCTTTGGCGTTCTTCCATATTTTCTTCTCTTTGGGAAATATAGCTGGGCGATTTTGAAGTCGCTCGACCAGTTGGCAAGCGTCGCGTAAGGGTACTTGTTTTGCCTAAAATGTAACAGGACTTTTAATTGTGTAATGCCTTTCTTTAGTGTTATAAATAACCCTTGGTCGTACGTTCACATACCGGGAACATCACTAGTACAAAACAAAGTTGCACTTTCTGTCCTTATGTACGCTGGAATCTTTAAAACTACGCAACGGATATTGATGTATTTGTTTTTAAAGGTAGATTGTTTCGTGTGTGTTTTTCTGTAGTGTGTTACTATTAGCATTGCACCCGAGCGAAGCCGGGGCGGGTCGCTAGTATAAATTTATTTTTTAGCTGTAATAACACTGATCAGTGACAAACATGTCATCCACTAGATTTTAAGACTACTATCTCCATCATAATATTAGTAAGAAGGAGATCTATTTTATTGCAAGTCAATTCCTATGTCAATCATCAACAATATAACAATCTTACCAATTTTATGCAGGAACGTCGTGTTGTCTTGTGAAGGAGAATAAACTCCAAATCTGTAATGAGTTCCCAGACCTCTGGTGTGAACCCGGCTTCCTTTTTTAAGATAGCTGAAAATGTGCCATCTTCAACTGCCACAGTGGTTTCTGTTTAAAAATACATACATTATTAATGGCATGACTGATGCAATAGAAAAAACGTATAACTAATAATAAGTTTAAATTTATTTACGACAGAATAGAGAGCTTACAAGTCTTGGGTCCAAGTTAGGTTAGTACATAAAATGTAGCTTTCTTAAGTTTTATGTGTTGTTAAGTTAATATCATATATACACAAAGAACATACCCTTCAAGTCTATCTGTTCAGAGTCCGGCAAAAGCTTAACGCAGACGCGCGCGCGCTGCATTACCTCAGTCGCTAGTCGGAGCGCTAGATCCACGCACGATTTGATCGAAGCCATATGACGCAGACGCGTCGCGAACATCACACCACACTCTTCCTTCAACCATTCTAGAACTGCAAAGATTTTTCATTATTTCATTTTTCTAGATTTGAATGTAATGATTTCAAGGTTAAATGGAAAATTGAAGAAGTTCTTGTAACACTCAAAAGATTAGCAACAGTTTGAATTAATAAAAATTATTAGATCATGTATTGCTAACATTTAGGCATTACCTCTATATGAGGGTATACAATTTTTTTTTGTATACCCTCATAAAGGTATGTTAGAAAGGCGTTTAATCAAGGCATATCGGTAACACTAGACAATTGACAAATTAAATATAATACAGGCAGTAAATGTTTATATTACATATTATCATTATAATTAACTGCTTTAATTAACTTATGTTTTACAATATTTTCTTGTAAGGATGTGGAGCACATATCTTAAAAGTCAGTCAAATTAACAAAGGTACTCACTCTCATTGTCACTTAAGGTCTGATCCTGATCCAGTAGAGCTTTAAGTACAGGATGGTCCCAGGGATTTGGCAAGATCCTCTTGAACCATTGCGATTGAGTCTGTAGTTGTAGCTCCCACTGCTTGCTGACCCCATCTCGCTTCAAGATAGCTGCTTCACTGTCTTTCAGAAATGCATCTATAGCCTCCACAAGTAGGGCCTGCTGATCTTGGCAGTTTGTCCATTCTGTCTGTAAACATAAAAAAACAATATGGTTAATATAGTTTAGAATATAGTATAGCATTATTACAGCATAAACTATAGTGACATTCAATTGGGAAACTGTGTCATGAATAAATACTAAATCTTACTCACACTACAATTCATTCATTAATACTGCACTATTTCAAACCTACCATTAAAAAGCAAACACTAATCAATATGTTAAGTTTTACTTTAAAGAAAAGCTACCTGCAAAATAGTTAAAGCAGTGTGCCGTTGCACCCAGCAAAGTAGATGTGGGTGAGTGGAAGGTGCTGAATGGCTGCAGAGGCTGTGAATGTGCCTCCACGCCTCGCACACAAGCTCGGTCCTCTCTAGCCCTGAGCAGTCACCGGAGAGACGAGATTCCAAGGTCTAAAAAGAAACAATTAGTACCACTATACTCATGTCTAATGTGAGGGTAGGTTACACTTAAGCATAACTTTGGAGCTTTTTAAAACTATTGTAGTTGATGTTAATGTAATAAGACTGAATTTAGCTCGGTTGTGGTATTTGGCCAAACCACTGAGAAATGAAATGAAAGAAAGAAACAATTAATTAGGCATGATAATATTTGTTCAAACTACACTTTAAGGTATATAAAATACATATTGCTATGTATTGTGTGTGTATTGGAATTTCCACTCAAAATAGCAGGCTGATATAATTTATTGTCAGAAGCATGATTTCAAGAAAAGTTTTTTAACAATCATTATAATATATAATGTCAATATAATAAGCAATAATTTTAACGTAAACGTTTTAATATACATATGTTTCGATTTTTTTTGAAAAGGAATTAAGCACCATATATTAAATAGTTTGCATAGTCAACAGCGAACGATATACGTGACTTCAAGAGCTTTTGATATGGCTGTCAATTGGTATCACACAAAACAAATTGAGTTGCAAATATTGCTTTACCTTTTTCATTAATAATACTTTTTTACTGTAGGCATAGCGACAATTAAAGCATGAATTACTTAAAAAACTGATATTTATTGTTGACTTTATCAACCTTCATCATCCAAAAATTGGGTGCCAACTAGTGCTCTTAATATCTTTAATAAGATTTTATCATGATAGAAGTAACGAATTATTAGCTTAAGTAGAATAATTCGGTAATGCTCCCGCTTAAGTAAGAAGTGTAGTATATTACATATCGTAGATTTTTATGAAAACAAGGAATCCAAGAAGACAAATATGGCGTCGGTAAAGAACTTACAACCACAACGGCGTCACGTTTTGAATTGGAATTTTCACACAATATATAATAATACTCACCTTATAAAGTTCAATAAAATAGCTTTTTCCTTTTGCGCTACAAGCTTGATTACTTTTCACTTCTTTTCCGTCATTTGTAGAAGTCATTTCTTATAAAAATATCGCGGAGAGACATTTATGCGCTTGTGTTTTCGTAATGGTGCTGTCAAAACTCGGTAAAAACTAAAAAGACAAATAGTCGTGTGGTGTGTCGACATTTAATCACTCTAGAGTTTATGGAACTTTTATCCATAGCAACCTTTTTGTTGCACTTCGAAACAATGTCCATAAACTAATGAATGTAAAGAGAAAATATTTTTTTCATTCTACAATTTGCAATTAAATGCAATTACATGCTAAAATTACTCACCTATTAAAAGAAAAAAACGAGCGTATTGTGCTATTACAATGCTGTAGTACAATTTTCGCAACTGGCCAAAACGCTAAACAAATAGTGTAGTAGGGTAGATCGTAAGATCCAACACGTCGTCAATGCAATATAATTGTAACACATTTACACTTTTAAGGGCCGTCAGATTTAGAACAATTCCAGTCACGGTCTAAGTAAATAAATTATAATAAAATATTATTTAAATAATAGAACCTCTCTCTCTTTCTCTCTCTGATAAGATCGGCTGGACAGGAAGAAACTGTTACATGTACAGATTATATTTGATTATGACGTTTGATACTGAGTCAAATCAAAAATCGTTTATGTACGTTCAAAAAGAAATGAGATATCACTAGATACGCTAATGTTTATACGTTAAATATAACACGACTAATTTAAGTCACTCTTTGTAAAAAAAATAATTTCATTCAATCTTGAGTAATTGATTGATTGATTCTTTTTTATAACTGTCTCTATTATCTATCTGTGGAAAATATAGGAAAAGATGAAGAACAAGAAGTCTTTTATCTATGATGTAATCTGAAGAAATACTTTTTAATACTAGCAATACAGTATTACAAAGCAACGCGAAAGTGTCAATTCGGGAATATTGCGTTTTCTCAGAGAAAATTCTTTTACAATAATTAAAATGTAATTTACACAGTATTGTTGAATAATATAGTTGTGGTTTAATGGTACTTGTTTTTTTTTAATTAAATAATTTTCTAAATTAAACAATAACGACTGTATAAATTTATAGTGTCACTGTGTCCGTATCACTAATTCCAATTGAGAACACAATAAATTAACGCTATTTTACTCTTATTAGTACAGTGATAAAAGCTTGCGTGTTATTAAATGTATTAACCAAACAAGAGCCATCACAAGTGTGTTTGTATTTATGCAAATCAAACCCGAATTCTTTCTTTATATCTACATCTGTTACAAATCATGAGGTTCTCCAAGCTTAAAGTATACCCTTACACCTCGAAACATTTTTAAAATCCTTAAATTCAGAATATGTATTTAGAATTATTAGTTATATAGTCATTGATTGAATCCTGGGTTTGATTTAAATTAGTGTAAAAAATCTGTGTTTTTGTGAGTGCAGGTGATGTTTGTACAATGTGTGATAATTTTGGCTTTTAAAGCACATTTAGAGTGATCAAAACATGGCAAAAAAATCTGATAATACTGGAGGGAAGCTAGTAACCATATCTGTTATTGGATTATCTGGTAAGAATTTCAAGAAACATTTAAAATTTAATAGATTAAAATTAGTTTTACTTACAATTACTTATTTATAAAGAGCTAAGAATTTATTAAGATTTATCAAAAATTAAATGTGTGGACAACAATTTAAAGTTACTTAGCTACGTGCTGTATTACCAAAGGTATCTTTTATTTTATATATAATAAAGAACTTCAAATTGAGAAGGCCTATTAAGTGATGCAATTCTCTTAAAAATATATATTTGTTAAAAAAACATTGAAATACCATTAACATTAATTAAAATAAAAGTAGTATAATAATAATAGTAAATTTGAAATCTTGGATACATTAAATGTAGAGCCTGAAATAAATAAGTAATATTACATAAAGTCTTTGAAATTATTTTTATTTTAAAGCCAAAATTCCCTTTCAGTATGATTTTTGAAGTATGTAAGCTTTTTTTAGAGTGTGAAGTCAGAACAAAAAAATGGACTAATGACTGCTCTATTTTTTTTAAGTCCAGGAGCAGAAGTCTGCACAACTACTTGCATGTAAAAAAAAGATGACTGAAACTTTTGAAGCTTATTTCCATCATCAGAATGGAGAAATGGAATTTATACGATATATTTTACGATAATCCTCGACCTCTTTGTTACTGATTCTAAAAATAACTTAAATAAACTTTATCTGACAAGCGGTGCTACTCGATATCTATTGTTATCTCATTGTATGAACTTCCTGTCAATAATGCATTTCCTTTGCTTATCTTTGGTAATAGTATTAATGATCACCACCTTCGTATGTTAGTGGAGATATGCTTATTGGTGATGATTTATCTCAAGATTGTAGGAGTAAAACATAATATCAGTTGACAAAAGATTATCTTGATTGTCCAATCCTTATATTTATTACCCTTATATATAGATATTATATAATTTGTATTAGTTTTACCTGTACTAATATATAAAGCTGAAGAGTTTGTTTGTTTGTTTGAATGCGCTTATCTCAAGAACTACTAGTTCGAATCAAAAAATTATCTTTTTGTTGATTAGAGCATTTATGCTTCGTGATAAATAGGAATGAAGAAATAGTGGGAAATGTGGAAAAGACTGAGATTTTTTTATCTTGAAGGGTTTACAATCCGTAGACTGCGAAAGCGGTTCAAGATACCCAAAAGATATTATTCCTTTTCAAAGAATAAAAAAAATTACCACTACACTATATGTCTATCTTTTAAGATTAACTTTCAAGAATGACGGGATGAGGCGGTCGTCGTGATTAACAGCTTAAATTCATAAAGATAAGGACAAGGTTTGCAAAAACAAATTTGGATGTAAAAAATATATTTTCTAAGCAGATGAAGTCGCTGACACAGCTAGTAATATATATATACATATACACTAGACTTTGCATAGTTAACTTCTATATTTCGTATTTTAAACCATTATATGTATTATTTAAATGTGTACCACTTGTGTAAACTACAGGCTATACTTAAGTATACAACTTGTTTTGTTTAAAAATGTACTAAGGACTTTCCTCTTACAGGTACAGAGAAAGAAAAAGGACAACTAGGTATAGGCAAGTCCTGCCTGTGCAATAGATTTGTTAGGACTGATGCAGACGACTACAATGTTGACCATATTTCTGTATTGAGCCAGGTGAGTACACTTGTCAAGTCCCATTTCATCACTGTCCTGGAACCGTAGATCTTCTGTTTAACACAATGTTCCCCTACTCCGTTACAGAATCTGGCACAAAGTAGGGTAGGTAATTTAATTAATAGTTTTATGTTGCATAAATATTTTTGATAGAAATATCTCTCTAAAGGGAATAAAGGGTGAATTTCTATGGCAATTATTGTTTGACAAAAGTGGGTGCACAATATTTTAAGCAACCTGCAAAAACATTTTTATATAATGAATGAGTCACTATATCGTAGCAAGTTGTTAATACACCAATTAAACCAAATATTTGAACTAGTAACATCTGTTTGGAAGTTGTTTAAAAGAGTTCTGCTTTAAGTCCTTATTTTTTGCGTGTATGATATTTTGTCTGTAATAGACATGTTGCATAGTAAGGTAATTGTTACTTATTAGAAAGATTATTAACATATTTAATTAACGCCAAAGAAGAAGAAGAAAGTAATTTATTGACTACTAAGGCACACAAAAACATATATTACACTTATTACTAAAACATAAAAAACAAAACATAATTTAATCTTAACAGTATAACTTAATATTAACAGGATAAAATAGTGTTGTGTGCTGCTAGTAGAATTGGATCTTCATATCACTCAGTTCATATCAGGCCCTAATGAAGACCAATAGTATTTTAGACAATTATAGCTCAATAGTAACTCGATGCCCAGTATTATGTTAAGCTATATTTGAATAGCATGAAAACAAATTTAAAATATTTTATTTATTTAAATAAAGCATTTTGACGGCTTAAAATGCGATATATATTAGTCAAACTTATTTGGAAATTATTTTAACTACGGCCCACCGTTTAGGATGCTTTGCAGCAGCGGTCACGGGGAGAATTATATATATATCGAGTTTTGAACCGTTAAAGTGTTTTATTTAAATGTGTACTACTCGCATAACTACAGACAGTATTAATTGATTTAGTCAGACAGTAAAGAAATGTCATTAACTTTCTGCCTGTAGATGAATAAGATTAAGTATGGTGAAAGAGATACCACGAAACGGACACCCAAATGTGTCTGCGCCGTGCTCCCGTCTCCCGTGGTTTCCAGGCTATTTACGAAAGTATATACATAGTAAAAAATAAAACGCGTCAGCTTTAGGCGAGCGTCTATAAACTACGCCTTTTTATTGAATAAATAATTTTGAATGTTCTTTCCGTGGAGACTTTGAATAGATGAAGGTACTGCTCTTCACAAAGTAATGTCGAGGTAATGTTATTTATATTCAGATTGTTCAAGGTAGTCGAATACTATTAAATTAAACACTTAAAATTTCGAAAAAAAGACGAAAAGATGATTTAATTTTTTGACTTAAAATGTCTAATGTATACGAATCCCGCAAATAACGAAAAAAAAATACGCTGTGAATCCCGGGTTCGAATTCTGTCCGTGTTATGGTTTTCAATCTAAATAATAAATTTAGATATGAAATATATCCATATGTAAAGTCTTGCTATGTATTTCCTAGCAATATTGATGGTTTGGAAGGAGGGGGAAGTTACCTGCTTCTTACTTGCTGTAATCGTGGGTGACGTTGAATGCATTCCACGTAGACAGCAATAATAATTATGGCGTATTAATTTATTTTCTACCTCAGCAATTTGAATGTATGTATTTAAAAAGTAAATCGCTATTTGCATTTTTCTTCAAATCGCATCTCTCCGCTATGCAAAAAATAAAAACATAACCATGAAAACCAATTCATCTTCGGAGTTTTGACGCGATTGAAAGTGAAGTTATAAAAACCCCCGCGGAACCACGAAGAGATTGCTTCTAATAAAATCCATTTCATTTTAGTGAACTTTACTCTTTCAGAAACATTTTTGCTTATCAGCTTTTAATTTGATCGACATCAGTTTCATTCGACGACATTATATTATAGTTCACAACTAGCTGTGTCAGCGACTTCGTCCGCGTAGAATTTGTTTTTGCAAACCTCCTGTTCAACTCTATAAATTGAAGACGCTCATGACGTCGGTCGCATCCTGTCTTTCTTACAATTTAAACATATAAGATAGACCTAAAGAGCCGTGCCGCGGACGATTTTTTTAGATTATTCAAAGAGGGGTCATTCTTTCAGTGACATTTTTTTGGTGTCTTGAACCGCTTACGCAGCGCACACAACGGAAACTGTCAAATATGAATTTTCCCAAATTTCCAACTATTTCTTTGTTCCTATTGATCGCAGCGTAATATAATATAGCGTTGAAGACATTCTCGAACACAAAATTGCGATTGAAACCACTAGTCAGAATCATCACAATTCACAATCAGAATTTTTGCTGTACAATGCTGTCGACCTACTAATCACGCACTTTATGGCATTTTCCATGTATCCCAAATGATTGGTAAAATCATAACCGCGTGTCGAACTTGACTATAACTACCTTACGATAGATATAAAGATATACCTACGACAGAGAGCGCGACGAAATAATTAGATACGATTTTGCAATTGCAAATTTTAACAATAATGAAAGCGAAAAGAACATTCATTGTCTATAGAATGAAAGTAACCCGAAATAAAAGCAGCGGTGCGTAGGAACATCTACTGTGGTTGCGTTATGAATTAATAATTGTTTGTTATGTGAGTAAGCGGTGAGAAGTCTGATGATGCTATGCGATAAGGAGCACGATAATGGTAAATAGGCGAGGTGACGTTGGGCTTAATTTGTAATTAAAAACTAGAGTGAATATACCGCGGTCCAGGGCTCGTAGCTTGGATGCGAAATAGAAATTTATCCAGAAACAATACACAAACGACAACAACATTTACAATTACAACTTATTCTAGAAACATAAAAAAATTGTACAATTTTTAAATAAAAATTCCTTCAAAAATTCTTCATACCTTTTTCGTTTTTGCAGCAGATTATGTATTACATTTTAATTTACCTTGAGACAGCCTATTTACAGACAGGCGGACAGCAAAGTCTTTTTTAGGTTCCTTTTTTACTCTTTGTGTACGGACCCCTAAAAAGAGAGCCACCGCGACGGTAGCGATAGGCGTAGATAGATAAAGCAGTTTTTTGCTTAGGACTAGGGTATTAGTTACCTTTACTATCAGTTATTATTATGAATCTCCACCTACAACTTTGCCTAGAAGAAATCGCTTCTTAGTGATAAGTCAGTTTCCCGATTTATATGGCATCTATGGCAATCGGAGGCCGAGCTAACCCAAAAGATTAGTTTTACATTTTGTCTATTACACATATACAGAATACATTATAAATTAAAAATTGTATTAAGCTCTTATAAATAGTTAAGGTCCCGTACTATATTTCTATATATGCAAGTTCAAATGGCTCAATTTATAAACTAAATTATAAAAGTTACTTAGTTAAGTAAAGAAAATCTAGTACCAGCAGCCAGGTTTGGAAATACCGGTGTATAGCGCATTTATGCTGTTGTTGCGCTCAGAACAGAGTCTGTTTGCACGCGCTGACAAACGCCATCGTAGTGGTTTCAGGAAAAAAATAATTACCATTTAGCTTATGAGACCTTCGAAGCTACGAAAATATATTTATTTTATTGATATTGATTTTGGTGATATAAAATTGTATTGTAATGTATATTCGCGTAAACTTTACATTAATTTTACACAAGATTAATTTATTAAAACCACGTGTACCACCGTACCACCACCATAATGAAACACGTTTTTTGCCCCCGTACCAATATACTCGTAGACGCTGTTTAGTGCATGGATTCCATAGTTCCAGTCCCGAAGCAAAACGATGATGTGTTCTGTTATAGTTCAAAAGGCTGATTAACAACAGCATTGCTTTTAAATAAAACACTTTAACGGTTTAAAACGCGATATATTAGTTAAACTTATTTGAAAATGATTTTTAACTTCGGCCCGACGTTTCGGATGCTTTGCAGCAGCCGTGGTCACAACGGGGAGTTAAAAATCATTTTCAAATAAGTTTAACTAATATATCGTGTTTTAAACCGTTAAAGTGTTTTATTTAAATGCGTACTACTCGCGTAAACTATAGACAGTATTTAACAGCATTGCTTTGCTTGTAAATTATTTCGTACAATTTACTCAAAAATGTGTCTGTTTTTCGGTTCAGGCTTTCATTTTAAATATTCAGTTCTTTTGTACATCAACTGACCCAAACAGATACCGCAAAAGATTTGTGTATCGTAATAATTTTTCCCCTAGAAATCACTTTTATATTTCTTTTATTTTCATTTTCTGTCCGGAATCGGAAGTAAAAGCCACACGACGCGCGCGGAGCGTTGTGTGAAAATAACGTGTATAGAAAAAAGTGTTCTCTCTGTATTCGGTTTTCCATTTGATAAATATGGTTTGGATAGCGCGTACCGTATTTTTACCAATCTATAGAGACAAACAAATGAATACAAAGTGAAAATCTATTTTGTATCTTTGTAAACGGCTATCTAAATTATAAGTTGTACATATTTTCAATCTCTTCTAAAATTATATAGCTAAAAAGTTTGTTTGTTTGTTTGAACGCGCTAATCTCACAACTTTTTGTGTTGGTTGGACCTATTAGCGAGGAAGCCTTTAGGTTATAAAACTTGAGGACTGATAGGAACAAAGAAATAGTCGGAAATGTGGTAAAAACTGAAAAAAAAAAATTCAATTTCGGCTTCCCCGGCTTCAAGAAACCTAGTTATTTATAAAATAATGTTCGTTCTTTAAATGATCTAAAAAAAAATTTCGCGACAGTATATGTCTATCTTTTAAAATTAACTCGCAAGATCGTCGGGACGTGAACGACTTCGTGGGTAACAGCTAGGTGTATTCTATAAACCTGTAGAGGTTTATGCAAAAAATATTGTCCTGTAATGGTAGAATATGTTTATAATCAAATAAATCAAAAAATACGTCCAAAATTACTTTTCCACGCAGACATATTCACAGGAAAACTTACCCGATGAAAAAAAGCAAAACTTTTATTAATATCAAATATGTATCCTTCGCCTGTCGAAACTATAGTTATAGGATTAAAATTGCCCGTAGCGAGTACAAATCGTTAAATGTAATACTTTTAACGGTTTTAAACGCGAAATTCAAGAGTAAAATTATCTTCAATTAACAACATTTAAAATTAGGATGCTAAAATCAGATTATATGGAATTAAGTGAAAATTTTTCGCGTAACTTAAAAAAATAAATAGTTACAAATATTATACAATAAGCTATCTCTTCTACAAGTGTTTATATATACATAATAAAATGGTTGTCATCAGTAGATATATAAAAAATCCAGTGTTATATATAGAAGGTTAACTAATTCTAGCTTAGGTCCGCTCGCAAGAAAACTTGCGGAAGCAAACAATGTAACTTATTAGATGTCCGACAATGCATAGATGAGCTAAATCCATTGACGAAGCGTAATACTGTGGCTTCGCTTGATTTCCTATTATAAAACTGCGCCTTTCGTGGAATCTCTTAATCTTAATGGATTTTTTAATCGCTTCTTTGCGAGAGGACTTTCTGATATTAGATTCCGTTGATTATTCAGTCGTTGCATAGTAAGTAGTATATTCTATTGGTTTACTAAGTTTCGAAAAAATCCACTTCGAGAAGTTAAGATAATAGCTAGTAAATGGTTAAAAAGTGTAAGCTACGATCTGCTGTAGGATTAGAAAGAATCCCAGTTAAGTCATCACACATCCTCACCATTAATCACTTTCTAACACACACATACACATCATCACACATGTTAAATTGAAAGATATGAAGTAACTAATTTTATGATATGGTAGAGCTGGAATCCCTGGCTCCCTAGGCACCTATTCACTTAAAAAATCTGTTCGTGAAATACCCTAAACAACATAACACCTTCCATCAAGTAAACCGTGCTTGTCTGTCGTCCTCTATGAAAAAGAACCGTAGATAACATCTTTTAATAGTAGCTAGAAGAGTGAGGCATAATGTAATCAATGCTTTAAAAAAGTAGTGATTGATAATGAAGAAATTATTAATAATAAAAAATCTTTTATTACCAGTACATTAATACTCATACAATTAAAAAAAATCATGGGCTGTATGTATACGCATTATAATTTCAACAAAGTAACCTTAGCTATTTCAAGAGAATTTCTATTGTCAATATTGATATCGAGCTAAAACTTGTATTTGGTTTTTCCTTTTTGTTGTTACAGCGGCAGATTATATATTAAATTTTAATTTAGTCTGAGACAGCCTATTTACAGACAGCAAAGTCTTTTTTAGGTTCCTTTTTTACTCTTTGTGTACGGACCCCTAAAAGGGAGCCACCGCGACGGTAACGATAGACGCAGACGGATAATGCAGTTTTTTCGGTTAGCACTAGGATGTTGGTTACCTTTACTATTAGTTATTTGGCGAATCACCACCTACAAGGTTGCCTGGAAGAAACGAGCGTTTTCACAGCATACGCAATAGAAACCCACAAAGGTGGATAATTTTTCTCGTTTTTTCCATATTTACTATTTTTTCATCGCTTCTGTTTGTCGCAACTTGATGTTTTACAGGCGAAAGCCTTCCTTGATAAATGTGCCAACCAACACAGATATTTTTCAATTCGAGCCAGTAGTTCCTGATATTAGCGCGTTTAAACAAACAATTTACTATATTAGAACTATATTACTAGTATTTCTAAGACTAATTTGAAGCTTTATATACCGCGTACTAAATCAACCGGACACACAGGACTTTTTTGTATATCTCAGGATACAAAGTAATCACGTGTCGAATTAAGGCCAACGATTTAAGTGTTTACCCTAAAAACATCGTTAAAATTAGCATTCGTTATCTAGGTCACTACATTTTACCAAGTTAATACGCCTTGACCAAAACCAGTTTTTTTAACTTTGCATACATTTTGTCCGAAATGTATAATGAAGCTATACGTAATTGAAACATAAGGACGCTAGCTATACACCTGCATATATCTTAAAACAAAACGGTTCTTAAGTTACGACAGAATGTAGTGTTTTAAACGCTTACACGTGTATTGTACGATTGATAGATTCTAAAATACAATATTCTTAAAATAAATCACTTTTAACGATTTAAAACGCGAAATATATTAACTTATTTATTTCAACTGTGGCCCGACGTTACGTACTATTATAATTACGTCCTGGGTCACAATGGGTCAGTAATTACGGCCAAGGGTTGTTTTAGTAGGGTCCTTTGGTAAATCGTAGCTCAGTAGCCGAGAGGGCATAGCACCCGAAACCACATATGCGCTAAAGCGAATATCCAATGCCAAAAAAGGACGACAGCGCATCTTGCTTAGATGTTATATAGCTGGTTTATTTAACCTCCCATCAAATGAGCCCTATACTTGTCTGTCGTTCGCATATTATAAAAAAAAATATTTTAAAGATTGTTTGTTATCTAATTTGTCTTATATATCAAGCAACGAACAAGATAAAAATATCTAATTTATCTCCTTTTTTCTTCTAGTCGGATTTCAGCGGGAGGGTAGTCAACAATGACCACTTTCTCTACTGGGGCGGCGTTCAGAAGGAGAATGACGATCAAGAATATCGATTCGAAGTGGTCGAGCAGACGGAATTCGTGGACGATGCCTGTTTCCAACCGTTTAAAGGTAATTTATATGTTTTATTGTACAAAGAACTCATTTGACGGGATCGTGGGTCTAACGGTTGCAATGTATGGGTAATAATCAATAGGCCGTGGATTCGAGTCGAACATGTTTCCAATTTTTCTATTTAAAATTACGTTCGGCTCACGAACCCTCGTCCCTAAAAAAAAATCGATAACGTTCAGTTTCAGTCTGTGGATTGCGTCGACCGTGCTTCAGAAAAAATATAGACTGATTAAAACAAGACCCAGTAGCAATCGAACCCACTGCGAGTCCTTCGATTGTATTTTTATTTAGTAATGAAGTAATTTAAAAATCGAAAATTTTAAATTATATAGTGCCTTCATGCGCAATGACATGTAAAAAATAATAAAGTCTTCATAGAAGTAATAATATTTAAATAAAACACGTTAACGGTTTAAAACGCGATATATTAGTTAAACTTATTTGAAAATGATTTTTAACTTCGGCCCGACGTTTCGGATGCTTTGCAGCAGCCGTGGTCACGGGGAGATAGTTTAACTAATATATCGCGTTTTAAACCGTTAAAGTTATTTATTTAAATGTGTACTACTCGCGTAACTATAGACATTCGTGAAGTAATCAAAATGTTAACTTATTTTATAGCATTAAATTAAAATTAAATAAACTAAACACTTTTCAGCTGTGGGTAAAACGGAAACGTACATTAAACGATGCGTCGCAACCAAGCTACAATCGGCCGAGAAACTGATGTACGTCTGCAAGAACCAGCTTGGTATTGAGAAGGAGTACGAACAAAAGCTGATGCCAGATGGAAAATTGTCTGTGGATGGTTTCCTCTGTGTCTACGATGTCAGCCTCGTGCCTGGCAGGAGTTGGGAGAAGCAGGTATTAATCATGATAAATAGAAATCGCTGGTTTATTTATACTTGTTGAAAATGTCATACAAAGTGATAGTTATGTATTAAATACGTTGTAACAAGAGACTGTTTGTTTGTTTGCACGCGCTAATGTCAGGAACTACTAGTTTGAATTAGAAAACAACTTTTTGCGTTGGTTAGAGCATTTATCGCGGAAGGCTTAAGGTTGTGAAACATAACACCGTAATTGGGGTAAAGAAACAGTGGGAAAAGTCAATTCAATTGGGAAAATTTTCATCTCTGTGGGTTCCCGATGCGTACGTTGCGAAACCGGATTAATATACCTAAAAATACGTATCAAAGAATGATTCCTGTTACATGATCTAAAAATATGTCCAAGATAGTACAAGTGCAGTTTGAAGATTAACTTGCAAGAACGACGGTACGCAATCGAAGTCGTCGTTATAACCATAATTTCTAAAGATAAAGCGATTTACAGAAGCAAAATTCGTTTCCCAAAACAACTATTCTATCTAATACTATTTTTTTCTATAAACCAATGTATTAACACGTTTTTTCTTGCAAGTTCATCTTTAAAGATAAACACCAGACTAGACAAGCTCCTGAGATTTGTGCCTTCAAACAAACAAACTCTTCAGATTTATAGATATATTAGTAAAGATTTGAAAATGTATAAAAAGATAGGATAAAATGTTTTAGTAAAGCCAGTAGATTACAAACAAACAACAAACAAAACATTATATCATTAAAGCGACGAATCCGACAATGTTATTTCTTGAACCAAGTTCATATATATGTGATATTTACTATTTCAGAACGAAGTAACAGCAGCGATACTGCAAAGCATCCTAAAACTCAAGAAGCCAGTCGTTCTAGTGACATCCAAGAATGATGAAGCTTGCGAACAAGGGGTCAGAGAAGCAGAACGTTTGGTCCAAAGGAAAGAGTTTAAAGGGTCCATTCCTATCGTGGAGACTTCGAGCCACGACAATGTAAATGTTGACCAGGCGTTCTTTCTTCTTGCGCAGATGATAGACAAGTCTAAAGCTAGGATTAAGGTAATAACGCCATTTTAAAAACCATCAATGACGTACCGTCTGTACTTTATGCGAATATTAATATTTAAATAAAACACTTAACGGTTTAAAACGCGAAATTTTCAGTTATATTTATTTACAAATTATTTTAACTACGGCCGGGGAGACTTCGCTGTAAAGTATCCGAAGCGTAATTGAAATAATTTGTAAATAAGTTCAACTAATACATTTCGCGTTTGAAGTCGTTGAAAAGGTTTTATTTAAACCATTCATGATGTCAGGCGAATTTCGAGATTCACCATCATCACAATTTGAGGTAAATAGTTCTTAAAGAGGAGGTTTTGTCTCTTTTATTCAAATTGTAAATGGTACTGTGAAAGAGAAAGAACTATACTTCAATGACGACATCGGAGTATTTACTGTAAACAAATATACTAAATAATTAGTTTTTAAAGGAAACTATATTTCAATGCATTAGCATTATATATTATATATATAGAGTAAAAAATTAGATGAAGACAAGCAGGATATGGTAGTTCTGTTTGCACGAACACAGAACGCTGTGGTCACAACCCGCGTTTTTCTCTGAGAAGATCTACAATGTTATATCTCTGTTGATTTATTTTTTATGTCTTTTATTTAACTTATACGAAATATTGATTTATAAATCTCTTTTCTGTTTCAGGTTGCGAATTACGCTGAGGCTTTGCGGATAAGACGGGAACACCTAGACTTTGTTACGGAGGCATTCACTCAACTTATTAGGATACATGTACAAGATCATAAGTAAGTATTTGATCTCGGTGAATACACTCGACAGTATATTGGCCGTTTAGTTTCCGTGTCACTCAGAAGATGGTGCTAGTCTTAATTGTAATTTTAACACAGATTATACTAAAAAGTTATTTCTAATTAAGTCAAAATAATATTGTGCAATTTAAGCTTAACTTATGTCTACTTACAATTAGTGTCTATTTAAGTGGATGTTTGCCTGTTCTGTGTGAGTGTATGTATGAAGTGAGTGAAATATTATGTATGTATGTTGATAGATATGTAACGGGGAGTAAGTGTGGTAGGTTTTTTAGTTGTAATACCTGTTTCCCTTGCAGAACATTTGGTGCACATTTTTTTTAGACCAGTGTCGACAAGACACAAATCTGTCACCTGTAAACAGACAAACAGATTTGTGTGTTGTCTGTACACAGACAACATAGTTGGTTAGGTTTCTGTATTCTACACGACAGAAATTATCTGTTCTATATCTTTCGTTCACCTCACTGTTAGTTACGAGTATGTTTTATCAGTGAGTTTATCAAATATTTTATTTGTTGTACTAGTTTTTATTAAGGTGTTGGCACATTTAGCAGCAACGCGTGCTCCGCAGTGGCAAACACCTTTATAAGATCTTTGTTAGCAGCGTTAGCAGCTTAATAGTTATTTTAAATTTGTTTTTCCTCTTCATCTTTATAAATCTAAGCTGTTTTATAACCCACGACGTCGAGCGCGTCCCGTCGTTCTTACAAGTCAATCTTAACAGATAGACACATATTCGTCGCGGACCTTTTTTCAGATAATTTAAAGAGCAATTCAAATCTTTTCATACATATTTTTTGGGTACCTTGAACAGTTTTCACAGCTTACGCAGCGGAAACGCACAAAGAAAAATAATTTGTCCCATTTTTGTTTTACATTTCCCGCTGCCCCTTCGCTCCTATTAGTCGTAGCCGTGGTTTAGCCTATAACCTCCCTCGGTAAATGTAACCAACACAAAAACATTTTTTTCAACTGGATCCAATAGTTCCTGAGATAAGCGCGTTCAAACAAACAAACCTACAAACAAATTCTTCAGCTTTTATATTAGTATAGATTATTTAAACTTGTTATTTACTCCTTCGCAGAGAAATGTGGTCGGCCGTCAGCAAGAGATTGTGCCATTATCCAGAGTGGACGAAGTTCGTTCAGCAGTTTGGTCACGACGGGACTCAGGTGGTCTTTCGTCGACATATACGGCGCTTGAAGGAGGAGAGGTCTGCCAAGAAGCTCAGGAAGCAGTTGGCGAAGTTACCACAGGTTCTGTCCAGAATACAACTACCAACCGACGACTTACAAGAAAAGTGAGTAGTTTTAGTCAATTTATTTTAAACTAGCTGTGTTAGTGACTTTACCCGCGAGAATCGTTATTTTGGGCATTAAAATTAGTTTTTGCAAATTCCTTCATCATTATAAATTTCTTGCAAGTTAATCTTAAAAGATAGACATATAGCTTCGCGGGCTTTTCGGATTATATTGTCGCGGACCTTTTCGGATAATTTAAAGAGCACAATCATTCTTTTATACATATTTTTTAGTTATCTTGAACCGTTTTCGCAGCGTACGCAATGGAAATCCCCAACATTCCCAGTCTGGAAATACTGTCTGTAGGTTACACGAGTAGTACACATTTAAATAAAACACCTTAACGGTTTAAAACGCGATATATTTTAGTAAAAATTGTTTGAAAATTATTTTAAACTACGGCCCTACGTTTCGGTGTGAGCCGGCATGGGGCCCGGGTGCTTTGCATATCCGATGTAGCTATTTAAGCCGTTAAAGTATTTTTTTTAATTTCCCCGTGTTTTCACATTTAACCGTTTTAACCAACGGGGATGTTGTAATAATTTTGTAAAATTATTAGTTATATGAGACTAAAGCGTGTATTGTATCTTACAGCGATTGGGGTGTTGTGGTACGACAAATCCGTTCACATCGTGACTTCTCAGTCTACTTCAGCGAGGGCATACGTCACTCGTCGGGCTCCGGTTCGGGCTCCGAAGAGAGCCCCCTACCCATTGACACTACGCTGCGGGTCGGAGAACGCGCTAGATATCAGGTCAGTTGTCAAATCAAATCAAACTCGTACTTACGCTACAAAAAATAAAAACAAAAAACTTTACGCTATGCGAGATACTAAAGCTTACGCCAGTGACCACGGCTGCTGCAAAGCATCCGAAACGTCGGGCCGAGTTAACACATTTAAATAATAACACTTCAACTGCTAAAGTGTTTTAAATGTGTATTACTCGCGTAAACTATAGACAGTATTTAGTGTTTGTTTTTCTTATATATATCGCGTTCTAAATATAAATCTAATCATGTATTCAGGCTAAAAAAACTGATTTATTGACGATGGCAATATTTTTACAGACACTGGGACAGTCGCAGAAAATACCCTTCGAGATTTTGGAGACCAACGAAGCCGCTTCTGTGTTCAAAGCGTACCTTCACGAAGCGCAAGAGAAACAGAGAAACTTAGAGTATGTTAATCGTTAAACCTATACTAAATTATAACTAAGATAGATGTAAACACACTGTTTTGAATATCAAAATAAAATAACTTTTTGGTGCCCAAAAATACTTGGATATTCCTGTTTTGGATTTTACTGATTAGGCTTCACTTACTAGTTTCACTTCACTTACTACACGTACATTTTTAACGGGTTACAACGCGAAATATATTAATTATAGATATTGTTATTTATTTCAAATGCGACTTAACGTTACTCAACTACACATCCAGCGTTGGAGGGTGTTCCTAATGTTAAAGGGAAATTAGCTACGCTAACGCCATCTATTTCCACCAAATTAATTTTAGTTTATCCTCATAATTCCTAGGTGGTGTCAGCAATTCAAGAGGTTATTAGAGGAAACCGGCTACGTGACGCCCGGGAAGCAGTTGTCGGAAGTCCGTGTCCTTCTAATGGGCAGAGAATGCTACGAGGCACTTTCTGAGGACCAACAACAGCGGGTGTACGATGAACATCAAAGGGAGATACAGAGACGGGCAAAACATAACTTTCAGGTATAAATTATGTATTAGTATTTGAGAACTTTAATATTTTTTAACATGTTATTGCACATGGCATCAAAAAATTAAAAACCGTTTTTATGGTGCGAGCGACGCATGTATGAATAGGTTGAAAATATTCGACGATAACGTATAGGACACGCTAGAAGTCCTCCTGAAGTCATTTTTTTGAAATCTAAAATCAACTTTAAATTTATATATAGTTTAATAAGATGATATTGACGAACTTTTGTAGGAATTATTACTGGAGCATGCTGATCTGTTCTACCACTTCAAGAGGATATCACCAACTGGGACCATAACTCAAGAGGACATTAAGGAAATAACTGATGTGCTACAAGATGATTTTAGGTATGCATCAGTGAGATATTTCTATAAGTTTCCTTCTTTTTTCCTATTTCAAAATTTCTAATCTTGCGGCTAGTTTCATATACGATCAGTACGGAATCTATTAATTGACGTTTACAGATACAAAATGCTAGATCGGATGGAGCAAGATCGTAAGCTAATGCTTTTCCAGCATTTAGGCTTTGTGCATTGTCCGATGCGCGAGCACTGCCCGGCGGGGGCCAATTGCCTAGATGCGACCCTGCCCGTCATTCTCAATACTAGAGTCGGGTACGTAAACATTTAAAAATATTTGTTTAGTATTGTTATAAGACTAGTATTTTATATAATAATTAATACTCTTTGAACGGTTTAAAACGCAAAGGATATTTATTAACTCATTTTTATTTGCCCGAGGCAGTGGGCCAACGCCAAATCTAAGGTAACAAAAAACAGATTTGAACCGTTAAATCTGTTTTATTTACATTTGTACTACTCGAGTAAACTTCAGATAATACTAATATTTTAAATATTTACATAGACTGTACATCAAATATATCTAGTTCTTTATAGTTTTATTTCTTATTTCTACATGCAAAGGTTGCCTGGAAGAAATCGCCATAGGCGATAAGGCCGCCTTTGCACAAACATGTTTTATTTTGTATATGTAATTCTATGAATCCATGTTCTTATGTCTATGTTTGTGCAATAAAGAGTTTATTATTATTATTATTATTAGTATTATTTAATTTTCAGATCTCTTACATCGACTGGTGAATCACAGTGCCAAGCTGGTCCGCCGGCTGCGCCATGGGCATTGACATCTGACTCAAACCAAATAAACGTCATTATATTAGGGGTAACTACTAAAAATCTTAGGCTTACTAGTACAAAATTTTTGAAGTAATGAAGAATATTTAAATATCATCGTTCCATAGGTGGAAGATATAGCATGTGAATTTGGTAAGCGGCTTATAGCTGGTTGTGATGGAGATAAGAGAGTCAATGTAGCTTCCCAAATATGGAGGGTGGAGCAAAGGCTGGCCTGTCGGGAGATCAGTGAGACTCCAAGAGACTTTGCACCTAATGGTAGGGGTATAAGGTTGATAATGCATAAATTTACATTCTGATGAAATATTAAAAATGTAATTGTTCTTCTAGGTTATTTCTGTGTATACCAGGACCAAGAATCCTTTGAATATATCAGGAATTGTGCTGAAAAGACGTTACTCTCAAGTTTAGAACAAGAAGATAAGTTGCCGTTTCAGGTTTGTTTTTTTACCGTTTCTTACCTCCAAGTGGCTTTATTTAATCCTAGACAAACAATATACATAATATATCTCTTCTACGACTAAACGACATTAACAAGAATTATACTTTTTTCTTCTTATTATATAGGGTCTTCCATTAGTCGTAATATTTGTCCAAGATGATGGGATGGATAAGAAGGAACTGGCTCGTTTGCAAGAGGAGGGGCAGAATCTTGCTGACAAGTTAGTTTTATTTTGAGCCTATGAAAACTTTTTTGTATGTGTGTTTTTACATTGACACATTGTGCATTATATAAATGCACATCAAAAATATACATTGAGAATCTATTTAGATAAAAAAGCGAGATAATGAGCGAGATATCCACATATCAATTGATTAGAACAGCAGCAGGGATCGCTGTAGATTCCGGTTCAAGTCCCTTCTGTGTCATATTTTTTTTTTCAATCTCAATACATTTTTAATCTTAATGTCTACGATGTTAACATCTATTTCCAACAACTCGGTTTACCATAAATTATATCATCGAAGCACCGTCTCGCTCCGCTACTCTGTAAAATAATGAGATAACCACAGTCCTACAGACAATAATGTCTTTGCACATATTTTTTAGTTTACATTGCTCGTACATGGAAGCGTCTGTGAATGAATTGGGTACGGAGGCGCTAACGGCGGATGCTGTACAGGAGCTGATTAGAGCCAATCGCGAGAAGGCCAGCTATGCTCACCTGTATAGAGACCTCATTGTGTGTTTTGATGCTGATATCCGGTATGCATTAGGAGATATTATTGATTTCACCCTTTTAATCGCAGTGGAAGACGGGCAAGCATAGATATACCCCAGCCTCGATGTTAGATCATCCAATCAAACTGTCTTATGCTGGAAAAACTGTAATGTTGTTCAACGTGACACGAAGGGAATATGGTTTTGCGCCACTCATTAATATATAGATTTTATAGACGAAGTCCTACTTTTATATAAACACAACAACAAACAGGTTCTATAAACATATTTGACCCGGTAGAAATGTAACCCACGACCCGATGATTATCAGCTAAACATTGCTACTTTGGGACTCAAACTCATTAATATATTGCGAAAAACAATATTTCAATAATTTTTAACACATTAGTGAGTTTACCGTACCTTAATACTATTGTACACTTTTTTTTTCTAGGATAATGGTGTGCATGTTCTGTGACGATCCATACTCGCCTGACCGTGTTTTGAGTCCTTTGCTGCTGCATCGGGCGTGTTTCCTAACCGGCGACAGATCCATCGTCATCGAAACATTCTTGGGCGATTCCAAACGTAAAGTTGAAGTAAGTTTATCACGAATAATTAAATATCAGCTCAGTTAGCTTGAAATAATGCAATGATAGATGAGGGTCTCGAACCCACGTCCATATCGTTTTGTGCTGCTGTTTGACCATCAAATTTGTACATTCTAATTTCATATTCCCCCTCCCCGCACAATCTTATTTAAACATAACACTTACTATTACGGTTTACTTTCTACAATAATACTTAATATTAAAGAATATAGTCACGTGATGCTGAAACAAAAAGGCACTAAATTACTACATGAATTATTATTACAATGTGTTAAGACGTAAAATGTGAAAATGTTTGTTAGCCTGATATTATAGAATAGTTTGGTAAATATATGGTCGTTACAGGTCATTATATCGAGTTTCCACGGCGCTAGTCAATTTAGAGAGGAACTCATACATGGTTTCATATTGATTTATTCTGCCAAACGAAAAGCTAGCTTAGCGACACTGAAGTGAGTACCTTAATTAACCACAATTTTTATTTAAAAAAAAAAACAAAGGTTATTATATATAATTTTTCATTTCCAGTATGAATATAGCTCAAGTTCGACGATTAGTCAGTTGTTTAAAATAGTCACAATGTCTATGAGATTTTATAAGAGATTTTAGAACTATGAGAGGCCAAGAAAACGTAATAACTTAAACTTAATTAGAAGCCACAGCCAGACAAAGTGGCACCGTTTCGGATTTTGGAACGACGTGGTTTCTTTCTATTTCTTAAAGTTTTAAATTTGATTTGAATCACTTTGAGACTTTAATAATTAGATTGTGTTTTTTATCGATTACAAAGGGAAAAGAAAGAAAACTTGTGTAATATGTTGTGACGTCTTAGTTTGTGATGATTTAGCCTGTGTTATTAACAATACCTTATAAGTGGATTTTTAAATACAAAATTAAAGATAATTCATTGAATTTGAATGTGTTACTATTTTCAAGTGCTTTCTCAATGAACATCCCGAACCTGCCAATTCAAATGGTGGCAGTGACGGACGGTGGAGGATCTGCGGCTAACACATTCTTTGGAACGGACCTGGGTCATGCTCTCATAACGGATGGAAACGCAACCGCTGATCGCCTCGCGGCCCATTTTACTACATATACTTACAGCAACTCAGCTGAAACTAAAGGTGAGGTAAAAACGTCGTTTGAGAAGTGAATAGTGCGAATACTATTCGTTAATGAATGAAATATCAATAAAAACTATTATATGTTTCGATTAGAATTTAATGTAAAAAATATGTAAATGGCAGTTTTTCTATACTTTTTTATAAGTTGGGAAATATATATGATAAATGTATCATTATTGTAAGGAATAACAGTGTATTTTATTTTTGCGTGTAAATAAGCAAATTAATGTTACAATTTCTAATATACAGCTGCATTTTATACGCCATTCTTCAAAGAAGTATGGGAGCGTAAAGGAGAAATTGAACGTGCATTCCGCATGGAACGGCCCAGTGGTGCGCACGCTCATAATTTACCGGATGTAGCCGCTGCCCGTCCACCGAGAGATCATGCTTATCATCTTGATCATCAGTGAGTATAAATATCTTGGTCCTTCGAGCCGGACTGCTTGAACGTATTTGTTTCTTAGTGTATGTTAAAAACAAGGTCTTACGAGTTGTAAGTTGTAATAAGTGGTAAGCAAAATGCAAAACTTTATAATTAGTTAGAATAATTATTCCTTCAGAACATTATTTTATTTTAAAATTTTCTCCTAGGATGGAACACAAATTAACCAACTCCCTGGACTTACTAATTGGACCAGATTCGCGCGCTGATATGGACTCCGAATATAGCGATACCCTCAATAATTCGAAGAACAGAAGCTTTCTCAAAGGTAATATTTTAATTTACAAGCTTTTAAGTGGTTTTTCTGCCGTGAATATTTGTTTAACGTACTACTCGTCTGGTTGGTATTTGGGTTGTGGAAATTTTAACAAGAGGCATAATATGTTTACGTATTCATATTTTCCAGGTTTCAGCGTATACCCTCCACCAAGTACTCCACCGGAACCAGCGCCTCCAGATCATAGGATGCATGCAGATCTATCACGTGAGTATTATTAAGAATGAGCTTCGTCTTAGGCAAGTAGAGAAACCATAAACTTCTAATAAAGAACTTTAAATTCAAATAAGTTTGTCTTAGGGTAAGTTGTTTCAATCATACTTTACGGATATATGTCTAAAGTAGTGCCAACTACCTTACCCTAATACATAAAGTAGCGTAAATGTATGTTAAATTCTTTAAAAAAAAACGCAATGGGTTGTAAAATTCAGTTTCCCCCAGAGCATTTGACATATAAATTTCTGTGTCCGTTTCACTGGTCAATTTTATTTGATGTCGATAAGACTTAGGCGTTATCCGACTTAAACAATTTATTGTTTTTCCCGGTAGTTAAACCCAATATATATGCTTAATGCAATGCTGTGTACTTTCTATGGTTTACACGAGTAGTACACATTTAAATCAAACACTTTAACGGTTTAGAACGCGAGATATTAGTTAAACTTGTTTGAAAATGATTTTAAACTTTGGCTCGACGTTTCGGATGCTTTGCAGCAACCTATTAAAAACTCTGGATAACCAATAAACAGCATACCGGCAAATGCGAAGACACCGTTAGTCAATTCTGTAAGGACCCGGCCAGTTTCGCCAAATACCAACTTCGACGGAACAGATGGCGCTAGCGTAGCAATTTTTACTTTGACGTCAGAGACATCCTCCACCTTAAGTCTTCCCGTGACCACGGCTGCTGCAAAGCATCCGAAACGTCGCGCCAAAGTTAAAAATTCATTTTTAAATAAGTTTAACAAAAATATATGGTATTTTTAACCGTTAAAGTGTTTATTTAAAGCTTACTACATTAATAATTACCAACTGTTAACGTAAAAATAATTAAACTCGGTTTCTCTATTTATAACTAAGTGACGTTTGAATGGTAACAGGTTGAAACAACTCATTCTGAATATTAGTAAATGTACATAATATAATATTAAACATATAATAACGATAATTATAACGCAGCGGACCTCAACTGTTCGGAGGACTCTCTCAGCACACACGAGTCAGGTGATTGCATGATGCAATTATAAACTTTGTTTGTATACAGGGAAGGTTCAATATCGGTAGATTGTTGGTTCGTTTGTTTTTGTGCATGAGTACACTGCGTAGAATAGCCACCATTTTGATAGACAATTGAAGATTTTGTTATGTTTAATCATTTGTAATGCATGAGTTGGGATCGTCCGTTTGTCAAACGTATCAAAGTTTTCTACATTACAGTAATGCATTTCTTTTCTAGAGGATTATTTATATTAGAGTTTATGAATATTATTTTTTAGACATGTTTTTATAGCAACGCACTAGCTACTCATATTTATAAGTCTTTTATAACTTATAGTGAATTTTCACTCAGATGGCGGTGGACTGTGGCAGCCGGCTGGCTATGGACCTCGTGCATTCACCACGGGCCGACCCAGACCCCACCCACCACCGCATAGGCCAAGACATTCACAAACTCTTAAGGTAAAAACAAGAAATACCAAATATGATACTTTAAGCTCAAATTGAAGGTTTAAGCTCCAAACTTTCATTAAATTGGTAGTAAAGTATATGTAAAAACTTAATGCACTAGTCGTTTTTAAAAGTTACCCTCTATTTTTCCGGTTTGTAATAATCTCCCTTATTTTCTCACAATGAAATCATCTTGGAAATATCTACTTTCATATAAAAAAGTAATCATTAAAAAAGTTCTTTATCACACCACATCACGACCAAACATAAAATGCATATATATACGATTTCGTATATATATGCATTTTAAAAAACTGCGTGTGTTGTTTGTGGTAAAAGAATACTGTAGGCGGAAGTAACTAACACATAGAAACATCCAGTGAAATATTTAGTGATTGTAAACGTATTTGTGAGTGAGTTTGTCTAAGATAGTCCTTTTTTGATCTCTACAGCAACCAGGAAAACTAGACATGAATAACTACACAATGGTGAGTGATGCACTGCAACACATCACGATTGGTCCAGCGCCACCCAGGGAAAGTAGGAAGGTAATGTTTTATTCTAATAATATATTAAGCTGAAGAGTTTGTTTGTCTCAAGAACTAATGGTTGGAATTGAAAAATTCTTGTCGTGGGTAACAGCTTAAGAGATAAAGAGGAGGCATGGAAAATCGAATTTGGATGCCAATAATAACTATTCTACGCGGACAAAGTCGCTGACACAGCTAGTATAATATAAATACTTATTTACGTCATATTATTTTGTCGAAGTGTTTTAGAGTGAGACATTTTTACACTAGATGGCTCTGTCAAACTTAGCGACTTGTCAATTGTCATTCTGTGAAAGTAATATATTTGAAGATACCGAATTTATCTGTGCAGTCTCAACGGTCTGGATGGTCTCATGGTCAACAGGCAGGCCATCATCACCATCCTTCTGGTGTCAGTTCGGAGACAGAATTGGATGCTCAGTACGCGCAGGTTAGACTCTTAGTAAATATCCAGAAACGATGTCTGGGATCCACTTTCATCAGATGAAATCTATGGTTTTCTGTCCACCCTTATGGTGAAAATGCTTATCTAAACATTAATCAATATTTTAAGATTTACCTATCAGTGAATATCATATTTTATTTCATTTTATTGTGGTAAGAGTATGTGAATTTAAAAAGTGCAGTATTATTTTTTGGGCCATGTATAAGACAAGTACCAAAGTATTTAAATAAAACACTTTAGCGGTTTAAAACGTGAAATATATTACTTAACCTTACAAATTATTTTAACGACGATTTTTTTACATTTGGTGTTTGTCAACAGATCAAGGAAACCAACGAATACATGGAAGCTCCGTCCATGACGCGTTTGAGGCGACATAGGAGGCACGAGAAAACACCTATGCATCAGCCGTGTAAGTTCTTGAAATATCTCGTTCAAGTGTTAAGTAAAATATTATTTACCACACATGCTTCAAAATTTGAGCTTTATTTTAGCAACCTTTTTTGAGATAAACTTGCTGTGCTGTTTATCTCAAAAAAGGTTGCTAAAATAAAGCAGTGGCCGGCGAGAGTTGTATGAAAATCCATATCTGTCGTGTTTAGTGGCCAAATATGTAGATTACTATGTAAAATTATATTTGTCGTTATATATATATATGTATAATTTAAAAATGGAACCATCTTCAACTCTGCAAGATGGCGACCAGAGAGGTAACTTACCAAAGTTTTTCTTTAAATTTCGAACTGGCTTGCACATAGAAAGCTGTTTAGTGAAAAAAACTACTCCGTCATTGGTATTAAGTTCTGAATTGTCCTACTTATTATTAATATACTCGCATTATTTGAGAAAATTTTTATACAAGCCTTGGCCGCATCTAGACTGCAAACACATATTCTATGAAATATATGTTTTATATATATTGCAGCCTTCTCAGAAACGGATAGTTCAGGCTCGAGTGAAGCTTCCGGTGGCGCTGCAAGGGTCCACGCCCGGAGACGGCACAACGCCCATCACGCGCCTAGGCATTATAAGAAAAGGTCTGTATACGAATACTCGTTGGTCTAGCAATGTATGGCTAATAAAAACGGGTGTGTTCGATCGCCACTGGGCCTAACATGTTTTTAATTACACTCCGTCTAAAAATCTTCAAATTATACGTAGTAGGAAAATCGTAAATTCCACCGAACACAGATGAAAGGCCGTGAAGTCTATTCGCGTTTCGGTTTCAGTATGTTTTATCCAAATATACAAAGCTAAAAGTAGATTTATAGCGCATCTTGATGAGAAGTTGTATCCATCCTTCCATCTACCACCAACTGAAATCTATGCTTATATATCCCCTCTGTCATACAATACGGCCGATGTAACTTGGCAGGCCTGATCTAAGCGCGAAACGCTGCGCAGAAACGTTTTTTAGGATTTTAACGGTGGTAAGAGCGAGGGGCGCGGGACGAAGATCTAGGCTAGTGATTGACTCGGTGTCAACACAATCGACCGCTTATTGTATCAAATTTTGTAATCGATTTTTATCGATTTAGATTGTGGATTTTAAATCGTATGAGATATTGTACTAAATGGATTGATGAACACAGTGAATGGTGTTGTTAATAAACAATACCATGATTACCTTTAAAAGAAAATAAAATCATTAAAAACTTTTTTCATTATTGAACTACCTGATTTAGTTAAATATGAGTTATCTATACTAATATTATAAAGAGGAAAGATTTGTATTTTTGTATGTAACGGATAAACTCAAAAAGTACTGGACCGATTTTAATAATTATTTTTTCATTAGAAAGCTACATTATCTTATTTAGTACTTGATTACTATAGGCATCTATAGAAATTCTTACTAGAACCAACGGAAAATGTAAAAGAATTAGCCGTAAAATGTCTTTCTTCGCATACGCTGCGAAAAGTATTAATGATAGGACAAAATTTAAATATTTGTACTTATTTGTCTACCCGTGCGAAGCCGGGACAGGGCCGCTAGTAAGCAATGATGCCAAACGGTTTTATTCTCATTTACATTAGCAATTTATTATTAAATAAATAAATAAACGTGTTTTGTTACTTACTGATTAGATTTTTGTCAGCTGTTAATATAATTAAATATCCGTATTGAATTCTATAGATCGCTGGGTAATTTGGTAGCCGTACAAAGTCCGCGCGTCCCAAAACTGGGCATGTTTGTGGGACCACCCGAACTTCCAACGGGCTACAGAGCTAGGACGCAAGAGGATAAAGGTATTGTCTGTTTTTCTTTGACAAAAATGTAAAATGAAAGTTCCGTAGTGTGATTTCCCCGTTTGCGATTCCATAAAATATTTTTCATAGAAAGCAAATGGAATATTCTAACTTAATACCGATTAAGTACTGTCTATTGCTTACGCGAGCAGTTCACATTTAATCGAAACCCTTTTAACGGTTTAAGATGCGTAATGTTACCTGTATACAGATTAATTGTACATTATTATTTATTATTAGCGAGCGAATCGAGTGATGGTAGTTCTGATGGAGAGACGCGAAGGCCGCGACCCCTGCCGCCCCCACCCCACCACGAGCCTCCACATAAGGTAAAAGCATATAAACATAAAACATAAAATTACATAGTGTTGCATTTCAAACAACTGTCAACATCGATTGTTTCGGTCATAAAGCACACAGGGCACATAAATTTACGTGGCCCATGCCCCACGTAGTAGATATTTTTTATAATTATAACGTCAGTAATGTTAATAGGGTTCAATATGTCCACAGATGTTATCCGGCGATTATCCGTCGTCCGCGCAAGACAATTCTTCTTCAAGCGCGGCTGATTCGCGTCGAAGGCCGCAAGCGTTCAGCAAACATGATAGAAGACACAAGGTACGACCAAAATGTATATTTGATAAAACATGGACTCTACAATTGACCATCTTTCGATGGTATAAAATCGACTTTGACGTACATTACTTTTGTAGGAATTATCTAAGAAGGAAAAGAAGAATGCATCACAAGCTCCGAATACTGTTTCAGCTCTGAATTGGGGCCCACAGGTGAGTTTTTAGCTTTTATAAGAAAATAAGTAGACTAAGAGATGCTGATATATTTTTACTGAATATCCATTCCGTCCGGGTCACGAACCACCGCTCATAGATAAAAGACCGTGAAGTTTAATCGCGTTCCGGTTTCGCATCATCGCACATTCGATAGCGCATCTAGTGTAGATGTTATACTGCTGGCATTTCACCTAGCATCAAGTGGAACACCATGCTTCGATCCTTCTTTTGCATAAGAAAATGAATGTGTATTATTTTTATAACCGTTTAAGTAAAAATACAATCAATCGAAATGTCTGTACTTTGATTCCAGGGCCCACACGGAGTGCCTCTGTTTGTGGAGAAATGCGTACAGTTCATTGAGCGAGAAGGCCTGGCCTCGGAGGGTCTATATCGTGTTCCTGGCAACAGAGCTCATGTCGATATGCTGTTTACAAAATTCAGAGAGGGTAGATGATTTTTTGCAATCAATAGATGGCTTTTTATTGTATAATTATATTCTAGTTTGATCATATTAAACCTGCTTTAATATAATTTAAAAAAAGGAACGTGCAGAAAAAAAGCAAATTAATGTATAATTTTAAATGCCAATGTTAAACTACCCTCAGTTTTATTTTATATAATGATTGGCCATGTACTTATTGATTTGACTAATTTCAGATCCAAATGTAGATTTAGACGCACTGGATATCCCAGTGAACGCAGTAGCTACAGCGCTGAAGGATTTCTTCTCTAAGAAACTACCGCCATTACTGGACGAAGCGAGTATGGCGCAGCTTGAAGATATTGCAGGTACAAAGATACTTAATAGTAATTGGTTAAAAAAGACAACATACAAATCCGATCTGATTTAAAAACTTCATACATTTTTCAGTAGTAAATTGTTCTAGAAGGGTACTTAGTCCTTTGTCATCTTTTTGACAATAAAGATAATTTCATTTGACCGGCTTGTTGATATAATGGTTGATATAATCAACGGGTCGTGGATCGATCTCCTCCGAGTCTAAGATATCTCTTATATATTCTCTTGTTTAGATGTTAAATGAGGCTGTGTTATACGTATTGTATTTAACCTTCCGTCAATTGAACTTCATGCTTTGCTAATCTTCTCTATCATAAAAAATCTTCTTTTATGATTTTTAAATAGATGGTGGCAATATATTGTCTATTTCTTATAATGACTCGCAAGAAACAGCTAATAAAAAAGTCTCTCGGATTCATAGAATAATGTTATTCGTAATTGAGACTTTTTTATACATATTTTACGTCTCTTTATTTTCAGCAATGCGCGGATGTATTGCGGGCGGCGTGGAGTTGAAAGATCGTAGTTGGCGTTTGCTTGCTCTGCGGGCTCTTCTCAACTCGGCCCTCACAGCGCCCGCTAGAGCAACGCTTGACTACTTGCTGCATCATTTCGCCAGGTATACATAACTAGCTGACCTAGTATCCGTGCTGTTGCTCTCAATTGGTAGAGCAACAGCACGGAAAGCTGACGATGCCGGTTCAAGTCCTGCCCGAGTCGAAAAATTTTTTCAATTTATTTTCGATTTTTAAATTATATAGTGCCTTCATGTGCAATAACATGTGAAAAATATAAATGTTTTCAAACTAGCTGACCTGACAAATGTTGTTCTGCCATATGATGTATTTTGACTACACTTGATTACCATAATTACCATAATTCTCATGAGTTAATCTTAAGAGTTTAGACATACTACCGTGGATATTTTTTAAGATCAATTAAAGGGGAAGCATTCTTAAGTTTATTTTTTTATTATTGTTTGAACGCGCTAGTCTTAGGAACTACTTGTTCGAACTGAAAAATTATTTTTGTTGTTAGTCTATATAACATCACGCTCCGTTCAATAGTAGCGAAAAAATAGTGGGAAATGTGAAAAAAAAACGGGGGAAATCATTCATCTGAGAAGGTTTCTGTTGCGTGCGCTGCGAAAACGGTTTACGAAACCAAAAATATGAAATAATTATTCCTCCTTAAATGATATAAAAAAAAATCAGCGACTATTTTTTAAGATTAGCTCGCAATGACGGGACGCGGGCGAAGTCGCAGGCACAACTAGCAATTTATAAAGGCGAGGAAGTATGCAAAAACAAATTTTGAAGCCAAGAAAATAACTATTCTAAACGGAAGAAGTCGCGGGCACAGCTAGTATATACATGTTTGTGCTGTTCACAGAGTGGCGGATAACTCGAAGCTAAACTCGATGGACAGCAAGAACTTGGCAATATGCTGGTGGCCGACGCTGCTGCCGGTGCAGTTCTCGGACATGGGCCGGTTCGAGATGACGCGGCCCTACCTCGAGGACATAGTGCAGACCATGATCGACCAGCACCCGTTCCTGTTCAGGGGGCAAGAGGCCTTCGTTATGGTCTGAGGAACGTGTGTGAGTATATAACAATTGACAACTTTAATAATTTAAATAAAACACTGTAACAGTTTAAAACTTTTTCAAATAAGTTTATAATATATATCGCATATATTAGTTAAACTTATTTGAAAATTATTTTCGACTTCTTCAAATAAATTAATTAATATATGTGGCCTTTTGTTTAGCGGTACATATACGCATTCATATGCCTACGCCTTCATATGTCTGTCTACCTCAGTCTGAAAGTCAGAAAATTCCTTATAATTCATTTCTTATTCCTTCACACTTCTATTTCAGGAACCCACAATGCAGGTTGCATTTGTGATGGACGACGTGTGACGTCATCGTCGCCGTATAATCTAGTTGCACTATTCACGCGATAAACGGCTTCATATAGTGCGCAAGAGGCATCATTGTTATTTGAACGGTGTGGGTTCGATACGGAATGGACATAGATGTACATCGTTCCAGCTAGCGTTAAACGTAGTTAGATTTGTGTACGCGATCATTTATTTTTTACAAGTGTTGTCATATCATCGCACAGTGTAACTAACGTACAGTTGCTCGAAGGTTATTGTAATGTACTGATATTGTGATATAATGCAAAGACATTGAAGTTAGAGTTACTCGTGTTACTTAACCTGTAACGGCATATAACCATCCCTCTATTTTAAATTTCGCAACTGTATTGTAGTTGAACTGTGGCACTCGGCTTTGGTATAGTAGCGTATGGCTTGTCGATGTTCAGCGCTTTTTTATCGAAATGTTTTATAGGGAATGGACTCGATGCAGTATTTTATCGAAATGCATTTGTATTAAGGATTGCACAAAATATTATGTATCTAATGGATTTGTATTAACGTATATTTATTCGTGTAATCGACGTGACACTTAAGCACATTCCGTTCAGTCGAAGGTAATTAAATAAGATAGTCTAAGAGCTGTTTTCAGAGATGCACATTTTTGAAACTGCTAGAATCGGCTTAGATTAACTTAAGCATTTCTGGAGGCAGCCCGACGTTTGTATTGCGGAGATGTTTCGCGCTGTGCGTTTAGTCAAACGAAGGTATACACTGTAAGCTCTTAGACTAGGCGTAATATTAATAAAGTGTATTAGCGTAAAATCACGCTATAGACGTGTTTCGGTTGCGTGTTTTGTATTCTTTTTAATTTCGCCACTTGGCGATTGTTTATTTTTTAGACGTTTTAGCTCAATGTTGCTTATTTTTTAAGAAAAAAATAGTGTTGCCGCATTAATAGGGCTTGCCTGATATCAATTTAAAATTTCAAAGTTCCTCTTTATTGCCATTATCTTTCTACGAATCAAATTCTTGCCCTGTTAAAATCGTATTGACTAACTGAAGAAAAGGGCATCAGTGTTGTACTTTGTCGATGAAAAGCCCAGTTTTATATTATATTATTTATATAATTTTGCGTAATATCACAAGATATACATCACAAAAGTAATGTTAGAATTTTATTTACGAAACTACCCACAATTATTCCAATTTCAGAACATATACTATTTATGTAAATAAACATTACAGCATTCATATTTACGTCACACCTTTTACGTCATTTTGGCATTGTATTGTGAACTACGCTAACATTTGGATATAAAATAAAATATTTAGGTCCCAACCAAGTTAACATTTACGCACTTACCTAATTCGAGTAAGTCTTACACTTCGTTATCGTTTCGTAATCGTTAACTTGGTTATGGCCTAAGGTCCCTTGATTTAAAGACATGGCCTAAGAGTATATTATATTTTTGTAGACTGTTTTCTTCCTTTTAGTATAGTAAGTTTAGTGGCAGCTATTTTCTTCTTTTCGTGAGATAATCTATTGCAATTCACACAATGTACCTTAAATTAAAAAGTTTTTCATCTATGTGTTTGTCCTCGCTTAAGAATTGAACTTTATATAGTATGTTTTAAGGTCGAAATTTCATTACGCAAGATCTATATGCACTAAAGGTACAAAAAGAAATTTTGGTGATCATTACACAATTTGTAGAGCAACAGCACTTTACGCCATTGGTCGCCGGTTTGAGTTCTGCCTGCGCCATATGTTTCAAACTTAAATATTGTTACGTATGTGATTAGTCTGTCGTTATTTTTAACCATTATATGATTTTCTCTGTTTTTTTGGAAAAGAGTTACGTTCTACTGTACTCTACTTACGTAAGTTACGACTTAACATCGTGAAAAATAATTGTGTGTATTGCAGTATTATTTTTACCGCTTTGTTACTTTGCTACTTTTGGTATTGTCACAAAATTTCTTACATTTTACGAACATTTTCATTATCATCATTTAAATGATAAGATATCCTCTATTGACGTTTATTAGAAGGCGGCGTGAGTTATAACATACAGCAATTATCTGAATTAGTTCACGCTAGTGGCACATTTAAATAAAACACTTTTGTTTGTTAAAAACGCGAAATATATTAGTTAACTTATTTGTATTTATTGCAGTCGGACGTTTCGGATGCTTAAACTCGAAATCTATTATAAATTTCGAGTTTTAAACCGTTCACAGTGTATTATTTAAAAGAGTATTTCGGTTTAGCTCTTTCGTTTTTCCAGCCGTTTGAAATTCGTTTAGTCGAGAAACGATCAATAGCTATATAAAATGGGCACCAAAAGCCTAATATAATTCCAGTTATTACTTTATTGTCAAAAGCTTTATTGAACTCTTGTGCAATCTATTGGTTTAAAGTATATTTTAGTAGCTACATACAAAAAACGCTTTTTATTTTTTATATATTAATATAAATATAATCTCTAAACAAATCAATGTAACTATCGATAAGATATTATTTAATATAGATGTCTCAGTTAAGCTAAGTTAAGGCGTAATCGTGTAAGTTTTTAATAATTATCATAATATATTATCAGTCCTTGTCGCACGTCCGGTTTGTGTACTGTGGAACGCGTGTGCGATAGGGACGCATATATCATGTCCAATAGGGGAAGCGATGCGAGGGAATTTTTTATATTTTACTATGAATCGAAAATGACATAGAGCCTACGTTTCGTTTGAAACTTTTTCTTATGAATTTCGCTTGTCTATGGATCTCGGAAAACAGTTGAACGTCCCCCCCTTTTATTAAAAAGCGATTCCTATATAAATATTCGATGTAAATATTGTACATTTATTGATTTTTATACTTTCCTTTGCGTAATTTATTTATTCTCGTTCGTGATGAAATTTCAATGTCTTTTGAAAGACAGCACCGTGAGCGATATTTTTGTTAATCGATGCAATTTATATTTTTTTCTAATTTATTTTTTATCTGCACGTGGCTTTACAAATGTGCCATTGAAGGTTTTCGGTGACTCCGACGGTTTTTGTTTGTCGTCCAAATGTTCGGTTTTGTAGGTTCTCGAATGTTCTATAGTAGAATCAATGTACGCTTGGCTGGCTCACAGAAAACTGGTCTCTAATGCCATTACCTAATAATATTATACCCACAAAATTTTCTTTGCAGCTTATATAGACATTTACCCACACCAATGTACCATTCTACAGAGAAATCATTTATAATAATTGTACGACCAGTGCGAAGTGAGCCGGTAAAACAATTTTGCTATGTGCGTTTCAACCGTTAACACAGTTCAAAAGAATGTGTCATATTTTATATTAAATAACCATCTATGTAATACAATTGTTTTTTATTCATTTCCCATCTGTGCCAAACTTGGCAATTTCTGTGCTTTTAAAAATTTCCCTAAATGTTTATATTGACTGATAATTTTCAATATGAAAAGTACCTTATAAGCTAAGTGTTTTTAATTTTGATATACAGCCTACATAAGACTTTTGAGTAAACTATAGACAGTATTCTGTATTTCTTTTTATGTGCGGATTGCGGAATTATAATTAAGAATTGAAATTGTATCTTTGATGGACATATTATTTCAAAAATCTTAACTCTTTAGGGATTGAAAATAATCACAAGCAACAAATTGAAATAATTTATTTCATATCCACCACTCGCACTTCAATTCTGTTGCACACAAATCACAGAATACACTATATACAGAGCTATTCAACATAAACTATTCAGACAACATTTCTATAAGAAATCATTTGAAAATAGGAAAATAAAACTACCCACATTCTAGACCTGAACTTCTAACTAATTAAGCTACATTAAATGCACCAACGCACAAGATCGTTCGACCCTGTTACTATCTCCATGCTCTTTCTAAAGACGAGCCGAGCTTTGTTCTCGGGAGAACCAGAAAAGGAAGATTCCGTCACAGAAGCACTAAGTCCTTCGCAATGTTCAGACGCATCCGGCCCCCCAGCAACCGCACCAGGGGATCGAGTCTGTCTGGGGCACGGCAGACAATTTCCTAGACTTGTGGGTGCAGGCTGAAGCCAGCGAGTTCATGGAGGAACAGACACTGTTGGTTCTTTCGTGCTCCGAGTGAGAAGTTGTCATTTCCTGAAAACATTACATTGTTTTAGGGATTTTTTGACTATATAAAGTCTTAGGCCGCTGCTAAGATAAAAAGTGCAAAACGATAAAAAACAATTGATTTTGACGAGATTGTCAATTCTATATATTTTGTTATCGTTTTGAACTTTTTATTTGACTGAGGCCTCGCTAATAAATCCGTAGTTGTGCATCGAATAATTATAACACGAGTAGTACACATTTAAATAAAACACTTTTATCAGTTTAAAATGCGAAATGTACTTATTAGGTAACTTATGCATCAGATTTGAGCTAAGGGACACGATTCATATTCAGTCTCCCCGTGACCACGACTGCTGTAAAGCAGTTATTTAATACATTTTGCGTTTTAAACCGTCAAAAGTTTTTTATTTAAATTACACATTAAATTCTCTGATCTATTAGCATCTACACAAATACTACAATACGACCACCGTGAACTAAGGTGCTTAAGTAGAGGGCAATCACACGCGAATGGTTGCCCACGAGGAGGAGGGGAGAGGGGTGTAACAATAAAAGATCACTGTGTAAAAAGCAGGTATAATAAATACATAGATTACAGTACAACACAAATTGTAGCTATGGTCTAATAGTATAGGTCTCATCACTACACAGCGGTTTTCGAGTGACACACCATTTCGCTTCTGCTTCAGTAGCATTCTAACGACAGTACACATGAGATTATTTGAAACTACCCGCACGTGGAAAATCTTGTATACTTAATACTTGGTGCTGTAATAATTTTCTTAGGTAAGCGATTTCCTAGGTGTCAAAATTAACGTTATTTTTAAGGCAGTGCAGTATAAACTACAAATCTAAAAATAATAGTTTAAGCATTATTTTCATACTTTTTCTTGTATCTTTGTTATATTTACTGTTCGTTTTATAAAAAAAAAATGTCATTACCTATACTGAAGCAAAGAGGCGATTTATTGTACCATGTACTTACTAAGGGGGGTCTAGCCGCTAGCGTGTGACTGCCCGCGCTCTCATCTACATACAGTACCTGGTAGCTGTCCCGCTTGTACCGCGGGCACGAACTCGAAGAAGACATGGTGGTGCGCGGACGATGCCGCGTGCAGTGCTTGTGCTTTTGCTCTTGCTCCTCGATCAGTCTCTCGTTGTCACTCTCTACTTGGACTACCCCATTCTTTGTTCCGTTCTTCACTTCTTTCTTTTTCTCGCGCCTCTTTCTTTCTCTTTTCTTAAATGTAAGCGAGAAGCGCTTCCGCTTTTTCGCTTTGGGAGATTCCGGCCGCGGTAACACGGTGGACTTCTCCCGTTCTGACCGACTAGTATCGTCATCGGGCGGTTGTGCTTGTGACTCTGAATCTGTCTTCTGGGTTACTTCTGTTCGAGTGGACGACTCGGGGTCGCCGGTTTTGTATGCGACTTCCTTTTCTAAATTGGCTAACTCCATTCTTCGTAGTCTTTTTGGCAATTTGTTCACTGTCGCGTATATTGGTTCCTCGTTCTCCCCCACTGGCGCTGAACGAGAACGGAAGAAGAAGTCGAATTTTTTCGGTTTAACTGGAATCCGTCTCTCCACAAAGACGACAGTGCTCGCCACTTCTGTCGTGGTAGTTTGTAGTTCGTCGCTCGACTTCGGACTAGGGCTACTTGGAATGGGTGTGGTTCTGGGGTAATCGTACGTAAGTTCAATATTCTTCTCGGTCACATAGCATTTAGGTTGCTCTTGACAGACTTCTTGCTTGGTGCTGCTCTCTTCACGATTCTGGCAACAACAATGGTTTTGGAGAATCTTTTGTGTATTGCACATGAACACTGAATTCTGTTGGATATAAGTGGTATGTATCGTGGTCTGAGAATGTTGTACCTCTCCCAGCAAGTCTTCGACGTTCCCACCCGTGGGGAAGCGTGGCGCTTGATATGGTGTGGTTACGAAACCGGGGGGCGGCGGTGCGACGATATGGCAGGGATGTGACGCGACGGCTTGAAAGAAGCTCGGCATATTTGGCGCGTCATGTACTAGAACATCAACGGTTCGCTCGTTTTCATTGTCCTCCGTATTTGGCTGCGCGGGCGCATTGTTCTGGGATTGCGTCGGTTGTTTCGTGACAGGTGTATCTGGATCTTTTTGGTTGGTCTTTTCCTCAGATTTTTTATCTTTCTCGTCTGATTTGCGTTTAGCCTCTCTCTGACATTCCTCACAGATGCAGGGGGTAGCGCTGCCGCTCTGAAAAATTCAACGTGCGCTTGAGTATAGTTGACACAAACTGAGGATTGCTTGAGCTATTTACAGTCGAGTGCGCATAAATAACAGAAACAGTGCTGATTGCGTATTTGTGTGGAATGCAGTATTTAAAGTGAGATGTTTGTTTGAAGTGTGCACGTTCATTGTGTGCAAACTATTAGGTGGAACTTATGCAGGGTTAGATCAATCAAGCCTAGTTATCGCCAAGATAATATCTACTCGACTATAAAGTACGGCTATAAGATTATTAATATCAATTCTAACAAAACCGATATTTTCTTATTAAATGTAAAGAATATATTCGACACGATGGAACACAGTTAAAAATTAGTTTACTATATTTCACGTTTAACCGCTTAAAATATTCACATGAATGTACAATATTTCAAAACAAGACCATTTTTTTCAGTGTTGATTTCGTGAGGTTCGTATCTAAATGCCGATCGGAATTTTATGTCCTCTAAATTCTTAAGAGTATGGTCAGAGCCAGCTGTTCCCTGGTCTTCAAATAAAAGGTGAACTCACCTCGAGTTTGTCACGTCGGCAGTTTAATATGATTTGAGGACGACACATGCGTCACACTTCCGAAACTAATCATTATGAATAATAAACAGTTTATAACACGCTTATAAAATTATATGACTAACAATATTTTTTTAACATGCTTTTTTTCAGGACTTTAAACAATTATACATACGTAATTAGGGAAGATATTTTTTATTAAACAAGGATTCAAACCCACTATCAATAGCACGCCGTTGTTAAACAATTGTATAATTGAGTGCTAGCCTAAGTAGAACGAGATATATTTTTATTGAATTGAAATTTATTTTAAAATAAAATTTAAAGTAAGTGTGCTTCTTTAGTTTTAAAATATATAAATAAAAACAGATACAAAATTATATAATTAAATTCAAAATAAAACCGCAAAGAAAATATAAGAAATCACCGTATTAAATAAGTTTTGTTTTATTAGACTATTTAACAGTTGTTAACTTATCATAGTCAAACACTTGTTAATCCCTGGTTAAAGTGCACACCCACAGATCACTTCACTCGGTAACATGCAAAAAAAAATTGAATTAACAATTAACAAACCACCATTATATCCGCAAACCACCCGCACGACCGTCACACTATAGGCACACCACACAACTGAGTTTATTTATAAATCCTTCACATTCAGTACAATCAGGGTTGTCACTAGATCATTTTCGTGTCTAATATTTAAACGGATAACTACGACGGTTAAAAACAAATGCTTGCTCTACGCTCAACACTCGCTAACTCACCTTCCCTACGTCTATGCAAAATCGTATCGCAAAATTCATCTATAAACACTATTCAAAACTTCATGCAAAATTGACCCGGATTCAATATGAGAAGAAATATTTCCACTATGAGTATATGAGACAGTGTATCGTAATTATAAACGATTCTTAAGAACCGTGTTTTGTTAGATATAATAGATATAGATAATACATAATTTTAAAAACTTACATTGTTTATTTTGTTACAACATAAGCCACTGCAAATCTTATTTTTTAATATAAATGGTTGGTTATATAAGGCTGTGTCTCTTCTGATGTTTAATAATAGCACAGCCTAAGTTGTATCTTTAAGGTACTATTGTTGTTTGCTTTGTACTGGTCTAGATTGTGAGGAGACCGACATGGAGAGAGAGAGAGAGATCCAATCATTTAAGTTATTAGAAACGTCGATGAAAACTGTCAGGTTCTAGATTTTAATTTACTAGCTGTGCCAGCGACTTCGTCCGCGGAGAATACTAATTTTAGGCAGGAAAATTTGTTTCTTTGCACACCTCTTCCTCATCCTTCTAAATTACAGCTGTCACTAACGACGACGATCGTGTACCATCGTTCGTGCAAGTTCATCTTATGTCATATAACATTATTTAGATAATTTAAAATGGAATCAGTTTTTACATATATATTTTTAGGTATCCTGGGCCGTAACCCTTAAAGATGAATATTTTCTTCCCATTTTCCCAGTTTTCCACTGTCCGCTCCTATTGGTCGCAGTGGATATGTTATACCCTTAGATAAATGCTCAAACCAACACAAAAATACTTTTTCAATTCGAATGAGTAGTACTTGAGATTAGCCCGTTAAAACAAACAAACTCTCCAGCTTTATAATATTTACATAGATTGCGTTCTATTTATATTCGTTATTCCTCAAGAAATATTTTCATAGTGGCCGAGTGGCAACCCTAGTTGAGTTTTCTTGTAACTCATGCCCGACCTTGACTCATTTCTAAAGCTAAATCTTTTCACTGTTATCAAATTAGAGTACTTCGAATTCGCTAAACTACTATTTTAACGCCTATAATTAGCTGATTTCGGTTTTTCTATTGTTCGCGAAAATAGATACGTGATTCAAGTTTTGCGTTAAGTGTACTTAAACAAGGAATTCGAGCCTAAAAATAATTTACGACTCTCGCAAACGGGTCAAAGCTAAACTATAAAACAGTTTCTGTCTTATATTTTGCGACAACTGTACATTTTAGAAGGCCTTTTTATATTTACTTAAAAATTATTTAAAAAAAGGATTTGGCGACCTCGTTTGTTCTCATGGTAGGAAATTATGCCTAAAAATCAACGGATCGTTCAATCCCCACCGGTGCTAACATGTTTGTAATATTTTTTGAAACGTGTTGGACTCCGTCTGGAAATCTGTATATTAAATTGGTAGTAATATCGAAAATTCTGTCCGGGAAAAACCATCGTCCACAGACGAAAAAGCGGTGTAGTATAATCGCGTTTCGGTTTCAGTCTGTAGATTTCCGAATATGCAAAACCAAAATAGGTCGATAGCGCATCGTGTTAGATGTTATATGGCTATGTTCATTTGATGGAAGGCTTTTCTGTTCTTCTCTACAATGAAGAAGGTAAAAAACAATATTGAAAAAATTTGGTACCCGACTTTATGTTCATTTTGCTAATAAAATAGCTTTTATGACTACCGACGAATCTTGTGGGTATTATTCGACTTTTATTGGCTTGTGAATATTTTATTGATATCCCATTTTAAACGCCATTTTATTGCTAAAACCTATAAAGCTTTGAGTAAGATTCTCACTTCAGTACGCAATACAATCAAACTATCGCATAGATATAAATGTCAAGTATAACTGATAACAGAAGCGAATCCAAGTTGAACTAATTAAATGGATCTATTTAATATTTATATGAAACACAACCACCCGTAACGCGTTACGTAACAGTGTTTTACCCACCCTTAAGAACATAATTTTAAACATTGAATTTTTACTAAATACACTTCTTCATACTTACCAATAAGATATACATATATTATATTGATAGTGATATGTTTCGTACTAAGAATCTAACTGAATACTCCATGCGCGACAAAATGAATAACACAATACTAAGAAATACCTTTGGCTTTTTCTTTTTTATTTTCACCGTTTTCGGCTGTCAAAAGCAAATATATATTAATAGCTCATCGCGAATAACTGTTCCTTATTTACATAGATAGAACTGGAGTATAGTTTAAAAAACTTATTTCACACGATGGCGCTAAATAAATTTAAAATCGATTTTTAATTGAAAATAATTACGACACGAGCAGGCCTCGAACCGATATCCGTTCAACGTGTGAAAAAAAGTTTTCAAATGTTAAACTCTGTAGTTTCATCTTCAATGATGTTTCTAAGCTTTAAAAAATTCATACTTAATACTTAGTAATAAGGTTGAAATTGCAATGCGCGAGAGATGCAAGTATCAATACGTTGTAAAAGTCGATGATGACGATAATAAGTAGCTCAGTTGGTTAGAGCAACAGCACGGAACGCTGTAGATACCGGTTCGAGTCCTGCCAGTGTCGTATTTTTTTCAATTAAAAATCGATTTTAATTTAACGATAGAATTTTGAATACAGAAGTCATTTTTGGCGTACTTATGTTTAACGTTTCAAACTGCCCTGTGTATATACACTTATGTTTATGCGTATGTGTTGCCGTACCTTATTCTCCTGTTCCCCCTCTTCGGGCACGACGGTGAGGTCATGAAAGGCGACAGCACGCGCAGAGCCGTCCACGCTCGTGCACTCGGGACACGCGCTGCACATTGACGCGCTGTCCTGCCAAGCGATACTGTGCTTTATTTACTTAACATACCGTCCAATGTTCTACGATAACAGCTGTTAACATACTATTTATTTATAATATACTAGCTGTGTCAGCGGCTTCGTTCAAATTTGTTTTTGCAAACCTCTTCGTCTCTATGAATAATCTTCCCCGTTTTTCCACATTTCCCGCTCTTTCTTCGCCCGTATTATAATCACAGCGCCATGGTAAATAGCCTTTAGCCGTCCTCGATAAGTGGTCTAATCAATACAAACATATTTTTTCAATTCAAACCAGTAGTTCATGTTTCAGCGCGTTCAAACATACGAACAGGAGGAAGGCTTTATACTACATATAAAACATCAGGCTGCGACCAAGGCAATAACGACGGGACGCGGACGAACTTGTGGGGCAGTTCAAATTTATAAAGATGAGAAGGTTGTTTGCCAAAATAAATAATATGATTCCCTTAATAACTATTTCAAGCAAAAGAAGCCGCCGGCAAAGCTAGTATTATTTAAAGAAGGGGAATTCTATTCCGCTATATCTCGATCTTCGTTACGCTGTAAGAATGTAACATGGAAAAGTATTAAGTTTGATTATAATAAAAAATATAATAAAAAACGTACGTCCGAGTGTTCAGGCGACGAGCGGCGCTCGCGCAGCATTCTGTCGAGCCTGTCATATTCGTAGCGGAGAGCCGATATCTCCCGCTTCAGCTGCTCATTCTCCCTTTTCAACTTTTTTATATCTGACTGACCTGAATATAAAATATGATGATACTAAGTTAACAATATCTGGGGGGTAATTCTATGATAATTCTCATTAACTCTTATCAGCGAAAATATTACGACAATTGAGACTTCCCCCCCTTTTTTACAAGACAACTAAAGAAATCTATTTCAAATTACAAAAGCTCGCATTTAAATACCGTGTGTACTTTACGCGTGTAGTACATATTTAGAATAAAAACTTTAACGGTTTAAAACGGTGTGGGTGAAATACCCCAATCATATTATATCTAAACAACATACGCTGTGGACCTATTTTATATTCGGAATCCATAGACTGAAATCGAAAACGATAAAACTTGTCGGCTTTTTATCAATGGACGTCGGTTTGTCACCCGGACGGAATTTCGATATTCCTTCCACCCAATTAATATCCGTATTTCCAGACAAAGTAGAAATGTTTTAAAATAATGACTAAAAACATGTTGGACCCGGTGGGGATCGAATCCACAAGCCTTTGCTACCATTAGACCAACGAGTTCAAATTAGCTATTAAAGGAAGCTTCTACTTATCTATTTTGTTACCTCTTTCAATTTCTGCATTGATATTGATAGTTCGCAAACGAAGCTCTTCGTTTTCGTAAAGCATACCCCGCGAAGACTTGCGGTCCAATCTGAAATAAACGTACGTAAGGATAGAACACTTTCTAATAAATCATTACCGAGACAACTCTCATAACTGCGAATATATGTTAAATAGGAAAATAGAAACAAAATATTGAACAAACGTTTAAATAGTAATTAACATTATCAAAATATATTAAATATTCATATTATAAATTCTAAAGCCGCATGCAACAAACAGTAGGGCAATATCCACAGAATACATTATTCCAGTCACCCGCCTAATGAATGTTATGACTCTAGAACAAAAAAGTCAAACTCACTTGCGGTTCGGTTTGACGTTGACATCCTTGCGTCGCGTGCGCAGCATACTCGCTCCCGTCATTCCCGACATGGTGGTGTTTTCTCGCCATGCGTCAACTAATACCTGAAGAAATGGAATACTAAATGAAAGAGATCAATGGAACTAGCGAGAGACTAGAGAGAACACTTATATATCCGTAAGAATTGATATAAGTAATTTCTGATATTTAGGATTTAGTCTAAGGTTTAAATATTACACACGAGTGGGATAAATCGACAAAAATACATTATTTTGTGTTTTGGCTGTAATTGGTTGTTTCCCCTAGTCTGGTCGTAATCTATACTCTATACTAATGTATAAAGCTGAAGAGTTTGTTTGTTTGAACGCGCTAATCTCAGGAACTACTGGTTCGAATTGAAAAAATATTTTTGTTGGGTAGAGCATTAATCGAGGAAATCTATGGGCTATATACACATCGCGATGTGACTAGTAGGAGCGAAAAAACATCGAAAGAATGATTCCTCTTTAAATTATTAAAAAAAAAAAGTCTGCGACGTTATATGTCTATCTTTTAAGATAAACTTGCAAGAACGACGGCAGCGACGTCGTGAGCAAAAGTTGATGTTCAAAATAACTATTCTGCGCGGACGAAGTGGCTGACACAGCTAGTTGAAAATAAATCTTTACTAATATTACTAGCTGTGCCCGCGACTTCGTCTGCGTGGAATAGTGACTTGTTTGTTTATTAATTTATGTAAGGGAGCATTTAAGGCTGCCAATCTATGTTATAAGTGCTATTTTATCGCAATACTCTCACCTCACATCACTCCTGCTCTAATTCCCACACTCCCTCCCACTCCCACTCCCACTCCCACTCCTATTCCCAAAAAGCCAAAGAAGAGAGTTTTTTGTTTTAGTTTCAAAATACTCTTCAAAAAATTCTTCGTGCGCGAGTCCGACTCGCACTTGGCCGAAAATAAAAGTGGCTTATGTCACTCCCTATTACATCACCCATCCTGTCAGTGTATGTTCCGTGAAAATCGGTCTACCCGTTTCCAAGATTAGCCGGAACAAACAGACAGACACACAATTTTTTTTTTAAATGTTGTTTTGGTATGTGTACCGGATATACATCCATATGCATTTAGTAAAAAGCGGTTATTTTAATGTTACAAACAGACACTCCGATTTTATTTATTTGAACGCGACAATCCAAGTTGTGGATTGAATTTTAAAAAATATGTTTGTGTTGAATCGAACGTTTATCGGATAAGGCTTTAGGCTATAAAACATAACGTTGCGACCAATAAAAGTGAATCCACAGTGGGAAATGTGAAAATGACTGGAAAATATAGGATAAATAACGATGAGATCAAAAAAATTTGTATCAAAGAATCATTTCTCTTTAAATGATCTAAAAAACAATATCCGAGACAGTATAATATTTTATGGTAATTAAATTTGGTTTAAATTATTACCAATTCTTTGTTAGAGTTGAAAAATAATAATCTAGCAAACAACAAAACAGCGCTAGCCGGATTAGCTGGTATAAAAATCAGTTCCTATTCATTTCTTAAAAAACTATTTGTTTGAAAATGTTTGGCGAATGTAATGTATTTCACAAGATTCGTAAATATATACGAACACATTCGGAAGCTTTGGGAAATTCGTTTCTCTAAAGGGAATCGCTTCTAGATCTTTCTCTCGCCTAAAAGAGGAACGTTACGGTCCGTTGAATATGGTGTTTATTAGACTTGCAAAGGCACTTAGCTGTAAACAAGATTCGGCGAATCTCTTGTCAATCACTGTCCCACTATTGGGCCAGATTTTCTCTCAGAAGAGAAAGAGCTTCACTACGTGGGTTCAGTATGGATTGGTGGGCCGTTAACGACTATGAATTATGATATGAGCAATGATTACCTGCTTGACGTGCTCTTCCAGGCATGAAAACACCTCCTACTTCTAAACATCACTTCGTCTAGATATTTCATTTTAACAGACCTAAATAAAACATTTTTAACGGTTTAAAACGCGAATATTTATTGACGTCTATTTTTTGACTACAACCTGACGTTTCGGTTGCAGTCGTAGTAGTCGTTGTCGTGGGGTTAGCCATATGATAACTAATAAATGTCGCGTTTAAATTCGTTAAATGTGTTTCAATTACCGTGTACGATATTGCTACACAATCATGGACACTATAATACCAGGCAATGACACATTAACTAATAATATGCCAATATGCCATGGAAAGAAGTATGCTTAACATTAAAAGATCAGACAGACAATAGACTAAAGTAATTAAAGAGCGCAAGTAAAAGACCTAGTAACTAAAATTAGTAAAGAAAATTGAACAAACATTAAAAACTTAGAAAATTATATGATGATGAGCTGGGCATACAATTAGAGGACAAGATAAATTGACTAAGAAAGTAACACAGTGTTCTAGGGAAGGGAAAAGTAAAAAAGATCTCGGGAAAGATTTGGTAAAAATTTTCGAGGTCTCGGAAGACATTCGGGACGTGGCCGGAATCCGTTGGAATAGAGTAGCTCACTATAGAAAGAAGTGGAAAAGGTTCGTGAAGGCCTTCGCCTCTAAAGAAATACTGCTACACAATATATATTTTTATAAATGGTCTAGAAGCGAATTACATAACCGTATTCTTCCTAGTACTTATTACTATGTTGTAAAATGACACAAATATTATAACCGCATGACGTCACGTTACGCATCACTCTTCATACACACGCGTGCCTTTAATCCGTCTGTAAGAGTTAATTGTGACAGACTTAATATCGTAATCTTGTTTACAACTTCTGCACTTTATCAGAATAGCTTAATTCCATAGAAATTCGGATTATTAAATTAGGTTATAGATTTTGAGAATTTCGTGACACAATAATAATTCAGTACAAACCCACGTCCATATAAAAAGACATTAAGTAAATGAAAAATATTAAAATTCAGTACGAATAACAAGTAATCACGAATGACGAGAATTCGGCTTCAAATAAACGACGGTTTTAAACCGTGGTTTATTTGAAATCCTATAAAAACGAAGTTTAACGTTTGTACTGGACTATGGTACTAACTTAGATGCATTTAGGCCATGGTTTAAGAGTTAAACCAAGACTCCGCAGTTCTGGTTTAAGTATTTTTTTATAATAAAGCCGTAAAAGTTTTCGGACAGAAAATAGACGGACTTGTAAGTCAGTTGTCAGTTATGTATGGGTAATAATCAACGGGTCTTGGATACGATCTCCACTTATAATTATTCTGAAACATGTTGGACTTCCGCTAGAAATCTAGATATTTAATGGGAGGTACATTGAAATTCTTTCCGAGTCACAAGACCACGGTACATAAAAAAGTTATGAAGTTACTAATAGCCAAAATAGGCAGACAGCGCATTTTGTTTACATGTTATATGGCTGGTTAAGTAAACACCATGTTTTTTGTCCTCCTCTGTTAATAGTAAAAAAAGTAAAGAATTTAAATAAAACACTTTAACGGTTTAAAACGCGATATATTAGTTAAAAATCATTTTCAAATAAGTTTAACTAAGATATCGCGTTTTAAACCGTTAAAGTGTTTTATTTAAATGTGTACTACTCGCGTAAACTATAGACAGTATTTAAAGTAAAGATTGATTGAATTGATTTTTAAGGTTGTAATGTTATGTAATGTCTTACATTTGGTGTGACTTCATAAAAAATATTATGTAATACTAAACAATATTTTACACGGATTATATAGTTCAGTATGATAGACCAAAAGTACAGCAATGCCGTGTTGTCATAGGTGATTGGATAAATAAATATTACTTAGGTAAATCAACAATATTACGTAGCTACGTTGCCGTAGCGATTCGCTACAAGCGTAGTGAAACGTAAACCGCAGAGATTCAATAATTTATTTATTTTTTAATCTTCCCTCTAAACAAAAGACTTGTATAGAGCAAAATATTTAAGTTAATTTAAGCTCTCTTATTTGAAAGTAACTTTGCCTAACCTTACATCTCATTAAATAAATATTGATTAAAAACCTTGATTTGTTAATGTTTTACAATAAAACCGTCTTTATATGTAATGAAATCAAATAAAAGCAACTATCTAGAAGTAGTAAAATCCGATTTCCCCCATATGGCATGGGGCGTACACATTTTTGTGTCCGTTTCTTTATCTTTTCTTTTACACGTAAGTAGTTGATCAGACTTCTGTTCTCAGCACAACCGAAACAATTCATTGTTCCCCTGGGATTCAAACCCAGGACGTCTTGACAAAACTTCTAAGTATTTGGCTATAGAAGAGTACGCTCACTATCTAGCCGTACGATGATTAAAAACTATATAAAAACACCTGTATATCATGATAACCAATTTTGTGACTAAAATAGAAAAATAAAAAAAAAAACTAAACGCTCATCATAGTCAAAGTCATAGTAAAAAATTATTTATTCATGTAGGTACACCTATGAAGGTCATAAAACTACTAGGCTATATAACAAATCTAACATCTTTTTTACACATTTATTTTACGCAAAAAATATATTTTGTTATTGCCTAGCCAGATTTTAGTTATCTTCAAACTCTGTATCACAATGTGTAACTTCACACAATCGGATATCTTTGAAATAAAACTAAATACTTTCAACAAATATTAATTTAACACGATTCATCCGATGATTTGCGATCTTCCATTATATAATTCCTTACGTACGAGTACTATATGTGTATACTGTTTACATACAGAACCAAATATAGAACTGTAAAAGGTTATAGAAATAGAAGGGCGCGTGTAAGCACCGCCTTCTATAGTCGATGTCATTGCTTTTCGGTATCTGTGTCACTGGGTAAGAGATTAATGAAACTTTTGAAAATGGAGCGAGATCGCGACAAGTAAGTTCGCGTGGCGCTGTATTATAAGCACTTTGTGTAAATAAATATATATAAAAGAACTTTTACTTTTTATGATAGAGGTGGACAGACAAGCTTAGGGTTCAATTGATGGTATACTTTGGATATTTGGAAATCTATAGACTGAAACCGCAAATAATTTCAAGGCTTTTCGTCTCTGGACGATTATTCGAG